AATCATTTTACACGTACAGTTCTTTGAAGATTATCTGCAGTTAAACTTATTATAAATCTTTTAACTACTTCAAATCACTTTAAATATTTTTATTTTTAACAAGAGCGATTACTATTGTTATTTGAGTTTAACACGATTGTGTAAATACATTAACTAACAAGTGTAAATAAAATCCCTGGTCTAAAAATTTGTCCAGCTAAATTGATTTGTACATTGATGAATTTGTCACGTTATACGACGCAGAGAAACGAGTTTTATCACGTAGCGAGCATGTTTCGAAGGCTATTGCTTACTCATAATTCAGATAATACGTAAAACGCTTCGCTACATTCAATTTTTGCTCGCTTCAATCTCATGAATCATCGCTATGCGAGCGTAATTCGAATCGAAAATTACGAGAGAACATTTTCCCCCGTTGTCAGAAAAATAACTTCCAGTTTGTGACAAATATTGTTCCCTGTTGTTCCTTTATCGGTTTATGTAAATTAATGTAACGTTGGAATTTCTAACCAGACTTAACGATAACAAAGTCATGAGACAACACAGGTGACAACAAAATCAACAATTTTGAAAAGGACATAACGTTCGTTACAAAACAAAAGGTATCGTCAACGTCGCTCGTCTAATTGTAAAAAAGAAATATCTTTAGCATGAATTTTACAATAAATAAATGACCATCCTGACGATGAAAATAAATTCCAAACTTCCATCAGAATCAAGTTCCCATCCCCTGAGATTTCGTTCTAAAAATGCATAACAAGTTTTTTGCGCGACAAATATCGGGTAAGCGTTTAAAATACATTTTTACGCTTGATGGAAAAAAAAGAGAAAAAAAAAAAAATAAATCTGCCACGGCTGGAAACGTTACCTGTCGATGATATGTTAAATCGACAAGGCCATGAATACAAAATTTTCGCCGCAGCGTGTAAATGCACCACGGGCATCTAAAGACCGCAGAGATACGTTTGCACAGCCGTGTCTGTGCAGATTTACCGGGAACGTGTGTGTGCCTAGCTTTAGCTCGAAGATTCTTTTATTCCAGCACCGCGTTACGTTGTCTCCGTCAAGAGTCAAAAATGTCTCGTCAAAGAAAATATCACACGTCCCCTCGCAAAACTCCACATTACTCCACATTTCAGCAGAGATCACGTCTAACACATTAATGTATCCTCTATTTTGTCTACGAGCAGCCATTTTTATATAATTAATTATTTATTTTTAAATAATCATTTATTTAAATATTAACTCCCTGCCGCGAGAAAATGTCACGACACACTGATTCTGCTCAAATTTTGACATTTCGGTCTTACCCCCTGAAAACGCAAGATTTTATACCGCTGGAAAGTTTCTTCAATGTTCGGACTCGACGACGATTTTTAACGTCGACAAAAATACGACAAGAGGGTCGAGAATGGGCGAAAGGTACGCAGCAGGGCTAAACAAACGAAGTTCCAATAGTTTTTACAAACGACTTCTTCTACTTTCACATTACTCACTATTGCCCTAAATTCTATTCTAAAGAGTAAGACATATTTCGTAAGAAAGACGTAATTCGTATTAGTTTGTCGCTTTTAGCAAAGAGAGAAGAAAGAAAGCTTCATTCGAAGAGAAATGACGTTGTTCGTAAATTGTTAATACTGGTAGAAAAAAAGAAAAACGTTCGTTTTCGCTTGAAATCTTTATAAGAGGACTGAGAATATTAAATTTAACGTACACAGGCTGTTTCACAACGTATGGGGCTACTTCGCCGATAAATGGTGGACACGAAAATCATAAAAAAGCCGAAAATTCGCCATAAACTTGTATCGTATTTGGCCTTGTTCTCGAGTTGTCACTAGTTTTGTGTTGAAGTAACGCGAAGCTACTTATCTATGTAGAAAGTGCTCGCCTATAACGTGCAGCTTCCGCTTAAATGGAAGCTCTCAATCGTCGTGTTACCAACACTACATGTACATACATCGCATTGTACGATTGCGTAATTTTTAAACTCCAGAGAAATCTGATATTTCTCGTAAATCTGACGATCGTTCATCGTATGATGATTAACACGTAATCCCTTTACATTTCGAATTTCTCGGTCACTTAAGATTCTCAGGATCGTACGTAACTTAACAAATCAGGAAAATGCAACTTTGGTTTGTCGTTAAATTTGTATTGCTACAATACAAAAATATAATAACTCGACAGCATGACAAAATGAACAGTATATATCTGCTATATATATACTCTAATATTCTAAATATGATTTACTCTAAATACATCATATTTCTAACTTCTCGATGTTTCTAAAATTATAACTACTCATTCGTAAGTGTGAATGGTATAGCCACGTCGTATGAGTGATTCTATATGTAAATTCAAGACTATTTGAACTTCTTTCATTCGTTAGAGATTCAATAATAATACTTGATTTTACATAAAGAATCAGGATTAAGCAACGTGCTCGCATAATTATATAATATCGCAATGTTGCAACATTTTATTATAACACGCAGCGTCAGTTGATACTAATTTTCATCTTACCAACGAACAGCTTATATATGTAGGTGACACAGTTGTTTTTAAAGGTAGATAAACCGATACGCATGACGCAAAGGAATTCGTTTCGATACTGTTATCGACATATACATAGCGCATTGAATCTCGAACTGCACCTCTTACTTACCATTAAAACTAACCTCTTTCGCGCGTCTGCATTTTGCAACGTTTGTTTTGCACCCTGCCTTTACTTCCTTTTGTTGTGTTTTGAACATTGCTTTTATTTCGTCGAGCGAGTGAAACGGAAAGAAATTCTCGCATCGTAAACTTCGTATCGGATGCCGATGCACTGATGAAAAATACCAGAAAATAATGCAATATATTGTAAGAGTCAAGCAGATCACATTTATTTTGGTTTATCGACAAATCGTATATTGATTTCCTTTGCTCAGCGAAAACCCGTAAAGCACCACGACGGAAGGCATTTATGGTTTGGCAATGCTTTCCGCTTTAGAGGGTGAATTTATTAGATTGGAGACACAATAACGCAAAAAAAGAGCTAGCAAAAGAGATTTCAGAGGGAAGCATAAGTCTTTCTTGCACCGAAAGGAGGACACAACCATTTACTATTAATATTTTTAATAGTATTTTTAGTAATATTTTTTAGTGATATTTTTTTAAATTTTCCTTTTTCAAATTTCCTCCTCTACTCTTTGCATTCCTCGATTATATCTTCCTATTGCCAATAAATTTCTTATTTAGCGATGTCTCACTTTGAGTTTTCATTGCAATTTCATGCACTTGTTTTCCTCAAATCGTTAAAATTGTTTGAATGGAAGCAAGATTGACACGCGTACGTAATTCTATGATTACGATAATGACATTTAATTGTCTCGTAATCACATCTTATGTAAACAAACTTGAATACAACAGTCCAATGCTTCACGCCTAATTGTTTGTTATTTAAGCGATTAAAAAATCATATTTTTTTAATTAAATTAAAAAGGGAAGATCCTTTCAAAACGAAATGCGATCGCACATTTCAAAACACAGTGATCTCTTGAAATTATAAAATCTACAACATTCTATTAAATATTTATAGATATCGTTGAAAACGATAAAAAAAATTTTTCATTGACAGAAATAAACTTATTTAAGTATCCATCGAATTGGAAACTACCACATCCGTTTAACGATTTCTGTTAATTTATCTCGTCACTTTTTTCTTCAAAATTATATTTATCCTAGTACTATAGCAGTTTATTGAATTTTAAAATCATTTGACTATGTCACGTTGATATACGATCCACAAATGTTACCCTGATAATTATTAGACGTACTTAGGATAAACTATCGCTAGATATACATCATACAAGTGCACTTCTTTTGCATGGTATAATCTCCTCTTATTTAGAAGTATTATATATATACACGTTAAAGTTTTACAATCAATTAAGATACCGAATCCTAAATAAAAATATAATTATATGTACCTTGAAATAATTAAAAATAATGATTATCTTTCTGGATTAATAATAATTTTACTTATAAAACTACTGACAATCATAATTAGACATTTTTTTAATTCTTGCTAACTAAAGACCGTGATTGAACATCGAACTTTTATATTTTCAAAGATTATTACAAATCCGGTGTTTGTCTAGATTAATACTCGTGAAAAAATACGAAATAATAGATATATGTACGTTTGCACTGTTATCGCTTCTTCATTATAAAATTGTAATTCATAAATCATACTATATCACAATTTATAATTTCATATTATGTTACTTTTGTGTAAAAAAAAAAAAAATATTATTAAATTCATATTGTATCTAAATAAAAAATATTTTTGTACTGATTATTTAATATAATGGTATTTTGTATATATTTATATTGCACATTCTAGAATTTATTTTTATTCATTGTAATGAATAGAAATGTTATACTTAATGTTTCCCATCGAAATTACATTAATAATTGTGGTGATAAGTAGCACTTAGCAACAAATTCATTTAGCGTCTATTTAAATTTGCAGTTATATATATTTGTTCCGAAATGACGTATTATGATATAATAGCAATAACAATGTTCAAATATTTCAGAAACGCTTGATATGTAATTGAATTTTCGATTGAGCTTTCAACTCCTAATCATTTCCACAATATTTCGATTGTACGCAAGTATTACTAACAGCTGTGATATCATAGTACATACCGTACATATGTCCACAATACTAGCATTGACGATACGTTTCTAACATACTAACTCCATAACCAAAAAAAGAAATAATTACAGCGAAACAAAAGGTCAAATGATAAAGATCGCAGTATGCAATAAATGCTTCTTAATTGGGTCATTCCACTTACAAACTAAAAACAACTTCCAGAGAAAGATAATGCCATGCATTCAAAATAACGCAGCATGCGCAACTTATTTCCATGTGTCTCTAAAGCTGGTAAATATAATTCGAAATACACGTACAACAGTGAAATGAACAGTTACAATAGATTGTCACTGACCTTCTTTACTTGAAAATGTTCTGGCCGCAAATTTTCGACGATCTCCTGATCAGGTTTGACGGGTTGCGGTACCGACGATCGGAACCCGTCCAGAACGCCTTTAATTGTAAACTTCTTCATTACGAACCGAAGATAACACCTAAAGGATCACATGTGCAGCAGCAACACAGATTCAAGCGTTTCTAGAGTCCCAAGTCGAGATACGTGTGTAACTTTTGAGAAATAGCAGTTAACTAAGTAAAATCAGGGATCTCTCAATGACAAGAACTCTTCAATATGCTCGCTTTAAAAGTTCCTTTTCCCGCAGAGAACCGACGATGACATCCTCACGTATGAATGGCAAGTGTCACTCATCGATATTTCGAGTCTTACGGGACTTCTTCTACATTTTGACAGAATAACGATGACGTCGATGAGACACTACAGCACATTTCAATATCGTAGTACTTTGTGTGAAATGTAGACGCACACGTTACCGTAACTGTTCGTCGGCGCGTTTTTACAAACGCTGCGTGACCAGAATTGTTTTCGTAGTTGACAGCAATGCAGTGTTGTTTAATCGTGTCAGGATCAATAACTGGCAACAGGCTCATGTGGACTCTCGCACGACCGCGAACCTACTCTGTGCGCAATCGTGGACGAATCTTTATGGCAAGTTTTTATGCCACGTACGTATCATCATTAAGGTAGACGCGATAAAGATAGTTACTTTAGGGATATTGATCCGTGCGTGAATTAATAACAAGTTATAAATTTGAATTACGCACAATAAATTGAATTTCAATTATACAGTTTCACTTTTAACTGTAAATTGAAGCTTACGATAAAGTTTGCCTATTAGTGCATTACGTATAAAATGAATTGAACAAACGTCTGCGAATTTTATTTGCAAGATTCTTTAATTTTAATTTAATAAATGTCCTTTGTGTATTTGAATACGTAATATATTGAATAAAATAATTTGAGAAACTAGTGAATTTTAATAGTTGGTAGTTCAATACTACCAACCCACAAATGCCTAGTGCTTTTCCTAATACTTTTATAGATGTATATATTCTAGTACTTTAACAGAGATATATATTCAATATAATAATATATATCTTTCTCATTTAGCTTATCATCGTATATGCAAAATAATTTTTTTTTATGAAATGCAAACTTACTTCTCCAATTCTTATCAAATAAATTTTTTATGTATAAATTAATAACTTTAAATTCGTTAAATATAAAGCCATTACAAAAGTTTATATGCACAATGACAATTTATTATAACTAAATATCATTTTAGATAGAAAAATTAATTGGTCAGTCTTGAAATATAATTGTACAAGTAATATTTATAAATTACAAGTAACATTCTAATAATGATTTAAAATACACTTATGTTACAGAGAAAACTTGCTTTCAAAGTAAAAAAAATATGTTTAAAAAGTTGCTTTTATAACCTGAATTTAAATATATTATACTCGATTAACTTATAATACGTTTAATTTATGATATATAAATGTACAATGTATTATATTGTATACTTACTATATATTAGAAAATAAAAGAAATTTAAATTAACAAATTATTAAATAATTTTACATGCTTGTATTATATACATATGTATGTACACTATATTATGCACTATACAATATCAATATTTAAATGAATTACACAATATAGTCAAGTCTTTAAAATTCAGTTTTTCATATTTTTTAATCACTTATATAATAGCTATTTCAATTATTATCTGTAAAGTACCATATTTAAAAGGAACAGAATTTAATATAAGGTAACCATAATTTCTTTTCTTTTTAATGTTTTTAATAGTGTGTTTACATTATTGTATAAATTAAATTTAGCACTACGTATTTATTAATTAATAAATAACATATTATTACATATTGATAAATGTAAAATGTTATACACTAAAAATATTATTTCAGGAAATTTTTCCGGAAAAGTTGTATAGGTTAAGAAGTTTCAAAATGATGAGTCCAGGTAATGCAACACTTAAATTTCGTGATAGTTTCAACATAGCAACGAAAGATATATTAAGATGGTTCCCTGGACATATGGGTAAAGGAATAAAACAAATGCAAAAGCAGCTGAAAAATATAGACTGTCTTATTGAAGTTCATGATGCAAGAGTTCCAATTTCTGGACATTATGCAGATTTCACCAATACATTAAGTGGAATAAAACCACATATTTTTGTATTAAACAAAATGGATTTAACTAATATGAAATTTAAGAATTCTATAATAGAGACTTTAAATCAGAAAGGATTATCTAATATATTGTTTACTAATTTTAAAGATGAAAAATGCAAAGGTGCTGCAAAATTGTTACCTTTGGCACAAAAATTAATTAAGGAATCAAATCGCTATAATAGATCACAAGAATCCTCATTTCAAATAATGATTATTGGCGTTCCTAATGTAGGAAAATCATCACTTATTAATCGTTTGAGAAACAATATTCTTCATAAGAGTAGTGCTGCCCATGTTGGTGCTATTGCTGGTATTACACGATCTGTTTCAACACGAATAAAAGTGTCAGAAAATCCAGACATTTACATTTTAGATACACCTGGAATTTTAGCTCCCAGAGTAGATGATGTACACACAGGTTTAAAATTGGCATTAATTGGTTGCATGCAAGATCATTTAGTAGGACCAGAAATGCTGGCAGATTTTTTATTATTTTGGCTAAACAAACAAAAGCGATTTGAATATGTAGAAAAATTAGAATTAACAGAACCACATGATAGTATATCACATGTTCTTGTATATATTGCAGCAAAATTTAAAAAAACTTTAAGAGTAAAGAATTACGACGGTAAAATGATTATAAAACCAGATTTAAGATTTGCAGCAGAATATTTTCTTTCTTTGTTTAGAAAAGGACAATTAGGATATTATTGTTTAGATGAAGATTTATTGCCAACAAGACGGAAATAAAATATAAAATACATAATTGCAAAAGTGTTAAATTTTTGTTAAATATTTCAAAATATACCAAAAATATCAAATATATACATGTATGTATTAATACAATAGAGTCTCAATAGATCGCAATTTGTACATACGATAAATATAAATAATTTTTTAAATTTCTATAATCTTATATAGATAACATTTAGCAAAATTGCTATTGACATCATTATTCTATTTTATTCAAATATAAATATATGTTTTATTAACAGTTTAATTTAAAAAAATTTAATCTTGTGACAATTATAGTGATAAAAGATTATAAAAAATAAAGTAATTTTATTGATAATAAATCAATATTAAGAATTAAAATAAATAATTGAATTGTTTAAATGTATCTTTAATAAATAAGAAGCACAATAGCAATAATAATTGCAAAAGTAATATTTATAACTATAAATTGTAATATAATAGAATTAATTAAGCTATTATTATAATGTTTTAAAGTCATTAATTACATATATGTATTTATTTATTTAATTAATCCAAATATTTAATTATTTAATTAATCCAATTTTTATTAATTTTAAAAGTACAAAACAAATTTTCACAAAATTCAGGGTAAATATATTCAATTATTTTAATTTATTTTAAATGAAAATTGCTTAATGTATTTATTGAAATTAGTTTAATATTTGTTATCACCTATTATTAAAAAATTAGTTCCGTATCTATGTTTATTAGAAATAATTTATTATTTATGGATATATACCCAAATATATTTCAATTTATTAAAATTTATTCGCTAGATATGCATGCAAGTGCACTATAAGTTATTTGTAGACATTTTAATATTACTACAGAACTATCGTGTACCGTTATTAACGTTTGGTTTCTTCATACGTACAAATTCTGTTACTTTCATTTAGCGAACTTTCTATAGTATCATAAACGATTGAAAATTCTTTAACAAAATTAAAACATTATTTAAAAAATACTTAAAATAAAATTGTCCTAAACAAAAATAATAAAATAATATTATCTTCGAAAATAATATATATTGTATGTATATTATATTTAATTAGTAATTGCTTTTATCAATGAATCACTTAGTAGTAATTGCTTTTATCAATGAATCAAAATTATAGTGGCAATGTTTGCGAGAGTGACATTTTATCCAACGCTTTTCTATAATGTATTAATGGAAAAAATTTCGTCAAGAAACTGGTACGATAGAATTGATGAGACTGTTATATTGGGTGCTCTACCATTTCGAAATATGACTCAACAGGTATGTACATAATTATAGCGACAAATATATTACATTATATATAGTACATAATTTGAATTTAAAAAATTACAATAAGAAAAATATAATTTAATTATGGAAAAATATAATCTCTAATAATGTAAAAATTTTAGTTAATAGATGAAGAAAATGTTCAAGGTGTTGTTTCAATGAATGAAGATTACGAACTACAATTGTTTTCTAATACTGAAAAGGTATAAATATATGTAAATCATATTTAAAATTTTTTAGATAAAACTAAATAATATTGGAACACATATTTTTTAGGAGTGGGAAAAACATAATGTAGAATTTTTACAATTGTCTGTAACAGATATTTTTCATTCACCTTCACAAGAGAAATTATTACTAGGTGTAAATTTTATTAATAAATTTCGTAATGTTTCGAATGAATTAAACAGTTCTACTAAAGCTGATAAAACTTATCTTAGAACTGTTTATGTGCATTGTAAAGCAGGAAGAACACGGAGTGCAACATTGGTTGGATGTTATTTAATGATGGTAAGATAATTATAAATGTATAAAATATTTTATACAATTTCATATATCTCTTAAATTAAATAAAATTGAAAATTGTAATAATACAAAAGTCATTTCTGTCAGAAAAATCAGTGGACTCCAGAAGAAGCAATAACATATATGAAACAGAAAAGACCTCATATACTACTACATACACAGCAGTGGAATGCACTAAGAACTTTTTATAATAATCACGTAAAAAATAATAAATTATTTAAATAAATATGTAATTATATTTAATATTAATATATATACATATACAAAGAAAATTTTATTTATAATAAAAAGTACAATTTCATTTCATTTAAAAGATATTTATTATTAGACCTTCCAATTGCTTTATGTTTTAAATCTTTAAATGCTTTTAAAAGCTTTGCACGACTCATATCTGAAATTAAAAATAAAATTTTTAAATAAAAATTATTAAAAATAAAATATAGATCTGAATTTTTACATTTCAATCATTTATACCATTTTTTGAAATTATTTCCAAATATATGAAATTACTTCTTCATTTTTAAAATTTCTTAATTTCTTAATTCAAACAAATACTGTATTCAAACATTCGACTGATCCTTTTTTGTTTTCTGGAATACATATAATTAATACGTTAAACATAATGTTAATAAAATTGAAATTAATATTTTTAATTGATCATTAATATACCCTTTATTATTTAATATTTTTAATGAAATTTATTCAAAGTAGTATTTAAAGATCCATATTAAAAAATTTAATTGATAAATTCCAATTCTAAATAATATAAATATATATACAGTTATGTTATAATACTTACAAAAAGCAGTACTTATTGTTATATTTCTTTTTGTTTGCGAATAATTTTATTTAAGTATTTTAATTTCACTAAACACTCTTCTTTAATGAGATATGGTATTGGTGTATTATTGTCATTTTTTATTTCATTCTCAATCCCCTTACTAATTGCTTTTAATGTTTCTTGTGTTATTTTCTCATTTTTCAATTTGTTTTCTAAATCCAAAATTTTATATTGTACATTTTCACCTGCCAATTTAGCAGATCTTGCAAGTGATCCTACAGTTGCTTTAAGAGTAAAATTTGTTGCTGCTTTTGAAAAATAATTTAGAAAACAAAAATATTCTAATTCTCCTGTTTTCAACACATGTGTACCAGAACATGCTTCTCTAGACAAAACACATATATATATATATATAAATCAATTTTCATAAAATAAAAAAATATTTAAATATAATATTTAAAGAATTTTTAAAATACATAGGTCTTTTTCATTATTTTTTAGAAATACTTACTTTGATTTTAAATCACGAAAATCAATATCTACAAGTCTAATATCATTGTAAGGATAAATTTCTCCTGGTATAAATGTTACGGAATTTTCCGCTAATAATTCTGAAGTATTTAATATTCTTGTAGTAACTGGAACATTAGCTGTTATAATATTATTTATAAGTTCTTCAATTTCATTCAATTGTTTAAGAGAAAGACTTTCTCCAAATGAATTAAATTGACATTTCAAGTTTTGTGGTATAATAATATAATTGCGTAAATATACTGCTCCTATAATCTGTTGTATTGATGCATGTAATAAATGTGTAGCAGTATGATGTTTCATTACCCCTATACGAAATTCAGGTTCAATGAGAACCAAACAATCATCTTTAAGCTTTAATTCTTCAATGCATTTTCTATGGAATAAATTTTTCTTTTTTTAGATTTTTAATAGTGCAATATTAATAAATGTAATTATAGTGAAAATTAAAATAAAAACATACCTCAAATCAATTTGTACTAATTTACCATAATGAATAACATATCCATTAATTTTCTTTACATTATTTATATCAAAATTGAAATTTTTTGTACAAATAATAGCTTTATCTGATATTTGACCACCTTGTGTTGAATAACACAATGTTTTATCTAGTATAACTCCAATTTCCTCTTTATCTGATTCTATATCGTAATTTGTAATTATCTCATTAATTGAATTTATATCTTTGTTTGTACTTTCATTTGCTTTGTTTAATATTATGTTGCCTGCAAATAAATTGAGTATTCTTTTATCACATTATTTAAACTTAAGTGATATAAAGAAAAATTAATGATCAATCCTTACCATTTATAATTAATGCCAAAATTTTGCTTTCAATTTTAGGAAACTCATAATTATTTCCATTAACAGTATATTTATATTTGAAACTGTCATCAGTTTTAGGTACATTATTTTTTTCAAGTATTTCTAAAGATTTCTTCATAGCTGTAACATCACTTTTTTCAAGACCAATTCTAGATCGATTTTTGAGGTCTTCTAATTCTTTCTGGAAAACTTTTTTATCAAAATATAGAGATTCAATCTCTGCTAGTTCAGTTATTGTTTCTACACTTAAGCCATATGTATCATATAATTTGAAAGCAACATTTCCTGGTAATATATTAGCCATTTTTCTGTGAAATTAATAATAAATTAAACAAAATGTAAATTTTTACCCAATGAATAATTTATATAGGCATAGAATTTCTAATTTGTTCTGACTTGCAATGGTCGAATTTTTGATCGCAATAAACGAAGTATATTCATAATTTATATTCATAAAACCATCTTGTATACTTATATGCAGATACATACAAATCATGCAGTACATGTTGAAGATACTTGTATCCATCTTCAAGTCCAGGAGCCAATTGTTCAGTGATTGATTTCAATTGAGGGTATGTTTTAATAATTTTTGTCCATTGCTTACTACAAGTATAACGTAACTTTTTATATAAATTTTCTTCAAATTCTATTATTTTTTGCACCTAAATGCAATTAAATTACATATATAATAAATTACAAAATACTATATAATATGCATAATATATTATAAAATTTAGTATCTATATCTTAATATAATATATTATAAAATCTTATATAATTTATCACATTTTTTGCTCTATAATACCTTTTTTAGATTCTTCTGCAATTCTGGATAAGTATCACCTAAATTTTCTACTACAATATATGTGAGTTCAGAAAGTATTCCTTCCTTTTTAAAGACTTTTTCACCTACATCAATTGATCTTCTTATCATTTTCCTAAGTTTATTGCTGAAAAGATAAAATCATAATTTCATACCACTATTACATTCATTATTACATAAATACTCATACATAAGTTAAAATTATTGTATAATTGTAACAACTTACATTTGTTCCGGTACAACTCCATCTGCTAAAGCTACAGTGATCATTCTGCTATGATCTGCCAAAATTCTGTATCCACTATCAAGTTCATTTTTATCATTATGAAATTTACCTCCATATTCTGGTGCTTTTGTATATTTTTGAATAGCTTTAAAAAATGGTTGAAAAATATCTGTATCATAATTTGACTGTTTTCCTTGTAATACTGCAACTAATCTTTCAAATCCCATGCCTGTATCAACATAATGCTTAGATAAAGGTACTATTGCACCATTTGATAACCTAATATAAATAATATATAAAAAATAATATATAAAAAACATTTATTTCAAAGTTTGATAAGAATAATTTTACACTGCGTACCGTTCATATTGTATAAAAACTATATTCCATAATTCAGTAAGATCTGTGTAACTTTTGTTAACTTGCATACTTCGATTTTTCAATTGTTTTGTATGATCTACATGTATTTCTGTACAAGGACCACATGGTCCTGAAATACCCATTTCCCAAAAATTCTCTTTTAATCCAAACGGAAGAATTTTATCTCTTTTAACACCTATACTTAACCAAATATCTTTACATTCCAAATCAGGTTTCAATTCTAATTTCTCATCTCCAGCAAAATATGTTACATATAAACATTCTTTGTCAATACCATAATGTTTTGTTAATAAATCCCAAGCATAATGACAGGCTTCTTTCTACAAATAAGAATTTATATTTGTTTTAAAAAAATTTATATTGGAAACTAAGAATGATATACAACAGCTTAAAATATTTTTAAAAGCTTACTTTAAAGTAACTTCCAAAAGACCAATTTCCCAACATTTCAAAAAATGTGTGATGATAACTATCATTCCCAGCTATATCTAAATCATTATGTTTTCCACTAATTCTTATGCATTTTTGTGAATTTGTAACTTTCATTGCAGGTGGATCATAATAATCTAAAAAAATTCCTTTAAACTAAAAGAAATTGATAGTTTTGTCAATATGTAATATTGCAAAGAAATAATTAAAGTTCCTAAAATATAATATATTCTTAATGAAAATTAATTGTAAAAAAAACTTACCTGATTCATGCCAGCATTAACAAATGCAACTGTACGATCATTAAGCGAAATAACAGGGCTTGAGCGAATAAAAGTATGGCCTAAATCTTTTTCAAAATACTCCAAAAATTCATTTCTAATTAATTTTGCACTCTTTTGTACTGTACCAGAACTGTACATCCGCGTTAACAAAATGTGATTCATATCTCTCTTATTTTAAGTATTATTACTTGATTAAGTTATTAATTTCAATTATAATTTAAAAAGATTTAATAGTAACCATATTAATTGTATTAAATTATTAGTTATATTAGATAATGTTCTAATATTTTATTTTAAATTAACATGTATTGATGTATTGATTACAAGTTTTCAAACTCTCCATGTATTATATAGCGTACAGTGCAAAAATCTTTTCTAAAATAAACTACGAATACTATACAGTGTAGATTTGCGAATGCTGTATACTATATTTGATGTAGATTTTTACAATAAAATTCAAACTATTGAAAATAACTTTCATTTGATTGGATAAAATCGTACTATATAATTTTTAAATTTATTTATTCTTGTTCATTGATTTACAAATTATCCTATTATAATATACAAATTCTTTACATATTAATTTGTTCTTTAAATTGTTTAATTTTTATTAATATAAATTCTTTTTTACAAAATACAACTTAAGTAACTAAATATTAAAACTTAGTGTCTTTCCTAAAAAGGAACATGTATTTATGAAAATATATCTTACGTTCAAATAATCTAGTGATTTTGTGTCTAAAGGGAAACTAAGGTTGGCAATATGTAATAGAGAACTTATTGCTTGCCATCGAAAGTGTTCAAGGTAGAAATCGTTGACGCCATTTCGTATCTCGTTTCGCTCAAAGCGTCGAGAAAGTTTTTCCCTTTTTACTTTAATTTAATTTCGCCAAAACGTCGCAACCACATGTAAGTAGTAATATGGTGTTATAACGAGATATTTGACAATTAGATAGGTTTCTGAGAGACTTGAAATGTAAGCGGAATGAAGAAATTTACACATCGTCAGTTACTAGGGCACGCCAAGGGCCGGTTGTTTTTAGATCTTTTTTTTTCTCAACTACAAGGTCGTATTTTAGTTCCATGTTCTCTGAAATTCGGGTTACAATATATTATTTTTTACTATCTCGTTGTAGTAGTTATGGCAAATGAGATGAATAAAATTGTTTTTCTCTCTATTGATAATATCTGATAACTTTCATGGCCTTGAACAGCGCATAAGCGTCTTCTACGTTTACCGGAAGAAAATATCACAGCTTCCCAATTTCATTTAATTTTTTTTTTTTTTCAGCGATTTAGAGTTCACGAAATTTTAATATACCTTTTTTTAATTTTTTATGAAAATAAAATAATTTTATATATTTGCATTTTAAGACACCTGTCCTCACACAATAATAAACTGTGTGTAAGTGTGTAATGACCATGTAAGTTTTATGCATTTTTTTTAATATTCTTGAAATGTAGTTTCTCCATTTCAGGAAATTTCAAGGAAATGTTAATGCTTACATGTAACCATTTCTTTCAAAGGTACTAATTTTTAAAATATAATATATGTAAGAACTTAAATGTTTAATATTTGCTTTTTTTGGTAATGTTTATCTTTTTTATCTTATTCTGTGAATTGTTTAATATTATTAAGTCCAAGCAAAGTACACATATATAATTTAGCAAAATTAAATGTTCCAAAAAAGTACTAATTTTAAAAACATTTCAATTTTGGAAACTTATTTCATTTTCTTAAATTTTATTACAAAAAAAATATATATTATATGAAAGTAAATATAACATAATTAAAGTTTAATTATTATATGTTAAAAAATTATATATTAAAAATTTCAATTATAAATTTTTTGTAATTATATTATAACAGCTATTTTTATTATACTATTACAATAAAAAAATTGATCATTTTATGAAAATAGCGTGAATTTTAAATGTACTCGATTTAAAATTCTAATATACAATGTACATAAAAATGTACATGGTTATGAGGTAATCAATAGTAATACATATAAATGATTGCAAAATATTATTATTTCACAAATCATTATAATTAATAGACTAAATTATAATTAAATGATAAACTGCAATCATTTAAAAGTGAAATAATAATATACATAAGATAGTAATTAATACTATTTTTTTATTTTCAGAAAATGGTTTCATCTAATCAACCGGTAAGAACAATGCTAATAGTAAATTGTTTTCCATTTTGTTTCCATTTGATGACCTCATTGTTTATTTTTCACGTATAACATTATTTTTCTCAAATAAATCATTAATATAAGTTAAATGACAATTTGTTTATAGGTACATAAGGTATTGTGTTTTTGTAAATTTTTTTATATATTTTATTAAGACTTTTTATAACTTATCATTCATAATTAATGTACAAATAGATTAAATATAAGCTCAATGATATCGCATTATCATTGTTATATGATTTTTGTAATAATAGCAAAAATTTTGAGCAAGATAAAATCTCAAACAGACACCATACTTTCTGCAAACAGAGGTATGGTCGATTTTAGAGGTACAAAATAAGTGTAAAATTTTATTTAATAATTAGTATTTATAAATGCATGCATTATAATTACATAAGGAAATATTATGTTAATTAGCGTTATTAATTACACGTTTCAATTTTGCAGAGAAAAACAAAAATATTTGTGGGTCGGTTACCAGAAAATTGTCGCAACGATGAGTTGCGACAATTATTTTTACGTTTTGGTGAGGTAACGGAATGCGATGTCATGAATCGATATGGGTTTGTCCACATGGCACGTGAGGAAGATGCAGCTGCTGCGATCAAAGCTCTTCACAATTCCAACTTCAAAGGGGCAACAATCAATGTGGAACAGTCTACGGGCAAATCACGTGGCGGCGGAGGAGGACGCAGGGATGGAGACAGAAGAGGTGGACCAGTGAGAGGTGGTAGGGGAGGACGAGACGGTGGTAGAGACGCTCGTCCTGGACCATACAATGATAGAAGAGGTTGGTAAATATATTTTTACAATGTTCTATTTTTATATATATCTATTTTCTCATTGCTAGAATGTTGTACAATATCAACGAATTTTATTATTTAAAAATTGAATTCTTAGCTCTTTTAATTATTTTCTTTAATCGTTAAAAAATTAATATGCTTTATTCTACAACAGACTGAATAAGTTTTTCACGATCGATAAGATCAATGAGTTTTCCAAATACATGATGAGATAATTTATACAGTGTATCATAAAGCATTTTGCAATGAGAAAATAATAAGTTAAGACAATGATGTTTTTAATACAGACTAAAATACAAATTGGATATCTCGGCATGCTTTACAGTTCTTCCGATCCAACTCGTTGGTTACGATGGATCTGCTGCAGGTGGCGTCGCGACGGGGTACACCGATTACAATCGTGGTGCTGGAGACTTTAGTGGACGTGGAGCCGACTTCGGGACTGGATACACTGACCGTGGAGCATATGGTCAAAATGTGGGAAGCGCGGCAATGGGTTACACATCAACGGCACCTGGAATGGGAGGAGGATACGGACCAGCAACTGGAGCTGTTGGAGGATACGGACCAACTGGAACAGCCGATTATGGTCGAACTGACTACAGCCGCGCTGCAGATTTTGGAGCTAGAACAGATTATGGTAATTACGGTGGTACGTGTTTTATTTAGCCAGGATAATGTAATATTCACAATTAACTTCTTTATATCGGAATGAAATTTTTTTAAATTAAATAATTCATTTCTTTTTATAATTATCTTTTAGATTTATAATACATACGTTCAATGTTTAGATTTGATTTTTGTATATGAAATTGTTTCCATTATAAAATTGCAATTTAGAATAAAAAATAGAATAGTTGAACTTTTGCCTGATATATATATATATATTTTGCATCATAATATTTTGTTATTATTTTTGCAAAGGGTTAGTTATGTAAATGTTATAGTGTTAGATTTTAATATCTAAATTAAATGCATGAATATTTATTTACTGTTGCTATTAATGTAAACCAAAAAGCTTTTATAAACATTAAACATTAAATAAATAGGATAGGTTTAGTTAGGTTGCAATAAGCAAAACTATTATTCTAATGTAGAGTTTATATATTTTGCAGTAGTTGGAGGTGGAATGACTGGGGATTTTAATCGTGGCGCACCAGGTCCAATGGATTATGGACGTACAGATAATTTTGGTGCAAATCGTACAGTTGATTATACAGCTAGAAATGATTATGATCGAGCTGCAACTGGGCCTATGAGAAACGGTGGTGGTGCAGTTGCCACTACTGGGTATGGAACGGGTTACACAGATGTAGGATATGATGAAAGCCACTGGTAATATATTTCATTTGTTTTATAGCATTAGAGTTAATTTTATCATTTAATATTAATTAGTGTATTGATACGTTGGTAATTACATTTTTACTAATATCATTACAATAATTATATAATAATAACATTTACAGTAGTAAGTCAAATATTAAAAATTTAAATTAACAACTTTTAATAAAATAATGCATTTTTTTTATATAAGTTTTTATACATAATGTACGTGATTCTAAACATGTAGGGAAAAAATTTTAATATTTAAGGACTATTTAAATGTTAACATTTTAAGAGAAACATATACTGTAGAAGAACAAATCTTTTGCAGCATTTTGAAACATTTTAGCATAACAATTATGAATTGAAACTTTATTTTTATTCTAACCTGTAATGCTTGTACTAATTTAAAACTTGCAAGTGCATCATATGAATTACATCGTACAATTAATTATGCTTGAGCAAAATTCTGGTGCATTATAAGGATAGAGTGAAAATAAGTTAACATATTCCAATTGTGTATGACAGGGGTTATTCGGGCGGGCCTGGGGATATGATGGGTGGGCCCGGGGGGGTAAGTCAAGGAGCTTCGATGGCCTATGACAGGAGGGATGGTCCCCCTGTTAATGATATGCCTCCATTTAACAGGCCAATGAGTACTGGACCCAGCTACAGCACTGGGGCACCTAGTTATAGTACTGGTCCTGGACCACAAGCAGACATGTTTAGTAGAAGACCTGGCAGTGCCGTCCCTAGTGGTGGATATCCACCTGTTGGTGGAGGGTAAGTAGAAATGTTACATTTACTTTATTATTTAGCATATAATAAATTTATAACATATATATTTGATTCACTTATGAAACATTTTGTACTCTATACTTAATGTGACATGAACGTTCATCAGACCTTACCGAAGAAGTTGTGTAGTAACCCGATATTTCCGTGAGCGATCGAAAGATTCGATCCAAGCTATTGTTGATTTCTTTGAACGGGCTCGGAAATATTGGATTACCCGATACTCGTGTATTGCAGATATCCGTTCTAATATATCTGATATTTCCGGATACAATTAACAACATTGCTATTTGGCATTAAATTAACAAGATGTTGCTTTTTGATATATATATAATTTCATGCTGACAACTGGTAATTGTATGTTAACACAAATAAATTGAAACAGTATCCCTTAAATAAATTCTGTGAATTGTGCAAATATAATTATACTGGAAATATTGTTAGTTATAATAGATATAATTTTTGTTGCAGCTACACTGAAGGGTACGACAGACCAGACGCATATGGTCCTCCGCGTGGTGGCGGCCGGTAAGTCCTATTATTACAATTATTATTATTGTTATTACTATTATTATTGTTGTTATTATTATTTAATACGTTACACTCCTTACACCAAATGCGTTTTTTAAAGTGATACTGATCACACAGCGTTAAAGAGCGATAATTAACTTATGCGAGTAAATCATTCACTGTTCAGGCGACTACGCTCTTTTTGCGCAACGTCATTTAATTTGATTGAACACTGGTCACAGTGTATTCACGTTTTTATGCGAATCGACAATAGGTTAAACATTTTCTGTAAAAGTATAAGGTGTGACACTTAGCGCGAGAATATGAACATTTCTTGATCGTAGAAAGCGTATGTGTTTGTGCGTATAACGGCACAAAAATTGATTTCTGTTATCGATACGAACAAATCATTCTGCGACTTTTCTAATGTCGAGTGTAAAAGAGAACAGAGGTAGTTGAACATCTTGTTCAAGTAACGTATAAATCTGTTTCAAAGTTTGAGGTTCAATTTAAAGACAAGCGTGTGAAGCGAATTTGATTTGTAAAACTTGCTTATAAAATTGTAAAAGAGTAAACTAACGTTGATGTGCTTTAGCTTTTATTTCTGCTGTTCAGTGTAGTAACTTGAATATCAAAATCGTTTGCCTTTTTAGTCAGTGCTAAAAGAGGAAATCGGATCGAGTGCCTTTGAATGACTTGGACAATTGAGATATTTGCATTCAAGTTACGATAATCAATTCGTGGTACTCGAAAGATTATTGTCCCATTGTACGTTCTCATGAAGCAATCGTGTACATGTTGATTCGGAAGTGGAATAGCGTTTTCGTGCCATTTTTTAACTTGATGCTGCCTCTCTTCTTTTATGTACTCTGCGGTAAAAGTCCGCGAAAATCAGCGATTTCGAATCACTTCGAGACTATTTGCGATTAATCGAACGATAGTTCGCTAGTGTGCCGACAAGTGAATACCGCAATAATAACAACACGTTACGACACACAGCGCTGTTCGAACAACATGTATTCTGAAGATGCATACCATCGGTCTCTTCCCGTATCTCGAAACCGCATCGGTTTTCATTCTTTCCACTTTTTTTTTCTTTTTTTTTTTCTCTCTCTTCTTTCCTTTTCTGAAAAAAAAAAAACGCCGTACCACAAAAAAAAAATGCGTATCACGTTTCGTAACTCATAGACTGAGAAGAAGACGACAGCCCCGGTTTGGTTGTCGCACGAAAGTTGCGTTGCGTTCATTTGCTTAATGCGCATCTTGTCAAGATTATTGCAAGTGACCGAGCGACTAGAAGAAAATTTTCAACGATCGTTCAAAAATTTTGTTTTGGAATGCTCGAGCACACGTACATACACTTCGAGAAATATTTCGTGAACTGTCGTCGATACGTTTTTTTGCGACAACAGCGAGAGAAACACGCCTGCACGTGGCGAGAGAAAAGAAAGCAGCTTTGAACATGTGACAACTTGTCAGACCTGACTCTGATTCGGTGATCCCGCTTATTATGGATGTAAAAAATGTACATTTCACTGTGCCGTGCACGTTATCTTGTTGTTTCAGTTTTAAAATAATAATTCCTATACTATCTTCATTGCATCGCAACAAACGTAGAATGCGTAAAAAAAACACAGCAACTATCGTTAAAAGTTTAATATTTGCACTATGTTTCCTCAAATTAAATTCTTGTATATTCTTGGTATACATTAATGTAATTTGAATTGGAACAGTAAGTTCTAGACATGTCCTAAGTGACAAGACGTTGCACAAGTTTTTATATCTCCTTTTGGAAAAATTCTTTTCTTTCCTCTTTTTTTTTTCTCTGTCTCTCTAATAATTGTGAAGTCACACGCGTTAACACGAAATGCCTCTAAATTTAGAACTTGTAACATAATAATATCTTCATCTTTGTTTACTGTTGGCTGATAAATGAAACAACGAATCGCAGAATATTTGTCGCCTAAAAAGAAGCAAAATTAACTATCGTATAAAGTACAGATTTTACCCAGGTCTGGAAGTTGTATGTTATCCGGCAAATGTGTATTACATGCGTTGCGAGGAGATCCGATCGATAAAATCAGGTATATCCAGTATCCGTGGTGTGATATTTTGGTAGTGAAAGAAGGCGACAGTGTGGACGCAACCACTGGGTCGCTGTGTAAGAAAGAAAGAACGAACTCTCGGTAAAAATGCATTCGCGCATACCAGTGTTACATCTTATACTTTCCAGCTTTTGTTGCGCCGCAAGGCGAATGAAGAAATTAATACTGCGATTTTTCATTTTTTGACCTTTTAGCTTCCCAGGTCCGGCAGACGCGATGCCACCGAGGTACTAAAAGCGTACTAAAGCGAATACTAAAGCGCATACGAAAAAGGCTCCTTTAATAGATACGATATAATGATATAGATACGATCTAACGTTTAACACACTAACTTAAGATACGGTAAGAATAAGAAGCACATCAATGAGCAACATAAACGAAATGAATAATGAAATACGCAACCACGATCACTTGAAGAGAAAAAAAGTTTAAAAAAAAAAAAAAAAGAGAGAAGATTGAATTCCTGATTGAAGTAAATGTAACGAATGGAATCAAGGAATTTTGTATGTCGTTAATTTTTCCCCCCAGCAAATAGTGGATATATATTCTTTTTTGTGCGAGATTTGTGTTCGTAGTTTTTTCCTTTTTTTTTTTTTCCTAATACTTCCCATGTTTTTTTTTTTTCTCTCTCTCTCTCTTTCTCTGTCTCGTAGTGGTACACAGCCCCGACTATTAAGCGGTGTGGGTTGATGAATTATCTTTTATCTGTCTTAAGTCAAATAACGATGATATATTAATAGGATAGATGATTTCGTTATAAGTTTGTAATATCTAGCATCAGCAAGATGATGACTTAGGCTATTAAACAGAAAATGCTGTATAATCCTTTTTTTACACGTAAGAACTTGGATAATGTTTTAAATGTTCATTAATAAAGCAAAGAAACGTGTTTGCTGACGTTGTCAATGTACCTCAACGGAATGAAAAAATAAAATTACAAACGCTATATGTCTTTAAAGCTTCTTAGCTTAAATATTTTCAAGTACATTCTCCTCGAATGCAGTTTCTTTATATACATACACCTAATTATTCGCGGAGTCTGTTCCGTTTTCTGACATTTGACACGAAGTGATCGATGATTTATTTATTTATTTATTTATTTTTTTGTTATCATTTTCGACTACTCACTACACACATTTATTTATGCTTTTCAAGTAAACCTCTTCACTAAAGTTTTTTCTGCTTTTCGTTGAAATATGCGACGCTGACAAGTGGATGTTAAAAGGAAGTCATCAACGAAAATTTATACGCAAGATCAACTGAATTGTGATTTACTCGGCGATGGCAACTAGGTATTAGCGCGCGGTTCATACGTGGTGCACATAATCATTATTAAGAATGACGTTTTGCATTGCAAAATCGTCCTCTCTCCTTTCTTTCTTTCTGTCTTCCTTCCTTTCTTTCTTTAAGGCATCCAAAAGTACAGTAACGGTGCTAAACTAAATATTATCGAATAATAAGTATATTGCAGATCTTTAGCATGCAAAACCCAAAAATGCTGACATATATTTTACGTCGAGATCAAGTGTTTATAGTGATCTTACTGTTGTTGTGTTGTTTCTATAAAAATGCTCTCTCTATTGTAATTACTAAAAGTACCAAAAGTAGATCATTTTGTGCATAAAATATGTGATACATTTCGTCAACGAGGTAGAATTCAACGTCCAACATTATGATCCATTCCAGTCTGTTGAAGATATTATAAATTTCCTGATCTCGATCGTTAACATTAATGTAATGCTTTTGAAACGTTTCAAGTAATAATATTTGAAGAAAGTATATAAAAAGAAATGTACGTACGAGACTACACATTTTGAAAATACAAAAGTCGGAAAAAGAAAAAAAAAAGAAAAAAAAGAAAAAGAAATGCAGAACGTCATTTAACATTTTGATGGAATCTACATGACTTGTACTTAGACAGCGTAATCTTGAATTGTGCGACGAATCGCGCGTAAACACAGCGCACTCTAATCCTGGTGGCATATCAACGTCAGATTGTGTTGAAGAGGCGATATTCAAGTCGCTTACCTATGCGTGTGGCCCGTAGATGCGACTCTGGTGAATAATGCAAGCTTCGATATGCGGATAACGTGCTACAAATTGCGTTTGCGCTCAAAGCTGGCGGTGCTTTGAATTTAAACAACAGAAGGTATGTTCAACGCGTGCGCCATTTACTCTTTGCTCGTTAAAGCAAAAAAAAAAAAAAAAAAATATAAAAAAAATAGTTACACTGAAAACAGAATGCGCTTATTGCGCGCATTGTGTCTCTGTTGTCGGTCATTGCGATGCTGAAAATTTACGATAAAAGACTACGAGAAAAAAAAAAAGATGTTCCTGCAATCGTCGTTTATGATAATACCGTTGCGAAGATGCTGCGATGGCGAATGCTTTTAGTATTTAATACGCGTTAATTCTAATTCCATCTCTTAGGAAACCGTCGATTATCTTTTTTATTTACATACGAATAACGTGTTCCGTAGGTGGCACAAATTCAACTTACTTCGTCGTGAATGGGAATTGTAATCCGTGTTTGTCAAATTTCGATATATTTCGAAAAATTGTCTACTTCCCCAAATGTTTCTCGACTATCTCCGAATGATTTGCCTAATTTTGAATTTGCATTCCAGAACCTTTCTTACATAGATTAAAAACCATTGACAAAAAGATACGCATAATTGTTTTGATCACGCTCTATTTAAATTGACTCGATAACTTGTCGCTGGGGCAAATTTTTGATTAATTGTTAATTTTGTGAATGAAAATAAGCAGTGTTTTCAAAAGTAACGCAGTATTCGATCGTGAATGAATATTTTATGGAACTGTTTGATATTTATGACGGATATGACTACGGATATAACGGGATGGAATTAGAAATAAATTAATATGACTACAGTTTTTACATGAATAAATCATATATATCAAAATATATAAAATTTTAATTAATCTAAGATTTTATAACAATATGTATGCTCATATTTACGCGAGCTGAAAAAATGTACTATGCATCCAATAATATGATCTTTTTGATAGATTGCAAGCGGGATGACGAGACACTGGACTATGTGATGAACACGATTGGAGGTATGAGTCCTAATAATATGAAGAAGCCCTTCCTGTCAGATTGATGGATCTTTTTTCTGAAGGAAAATACTTGCAGCAATATTAAACGAAGATACAACAAACGAAGAAAGAAAAAAATTTCTATTTTGATTAAACATAGTGAGCATGTAAGGTGTAATGACTAAATGTATTATTTCTGGAATCAGTTTTATACCAATCATTTTTATACCAAATTATTATATCGAACAACTTCACTTTATTAATATTTGATATATAAATACGAACAATCAATTTATATTAATAAAATGAATTATATTTTACCTTACCAAGTATATATATTTTTTTATAAAACTACTTTATATCACACGTCATAAAATGTTGTATAGCATTATGTTACGTAACATTTTTCTTTTTTTATTTCTTGTCTGGTATTATAATTATACACAATTTAACAAACTGTGATATAGAAACATAATATACACAGACTGTCTCAGCTGTAAAAGGCTTAAATATCTCCTTCATTTTTTACGACAAGAAAAATGTTCATAAAAAATGAAGATATTTACATAGACTCTTAATTGAAACACCTTGTATAATATACCACCTTCAATTTTATAACATTGCGATATAACGATAAATGAACGAGTAGGTAAGTATCATAATACTATACCTGATTAATGAATATATTAATATTTTCATGAAACATAATTTTGTTAAAAGATAATTTAAAAAATTTTATTCCGTAATTCAGAATATTGTCTAAATAAGGTAATATTTGGATATGATTCATTTAAATTTGCACATGATTTAGATTAAACAAACAATTAATAGTTAGTTTTGCGCTGACGAAGTGAAAAACGCATTCTATAGTATGTATATTTATATATACTAGTATATTTTTTATTTATAGCATTTATAGTATATATTTTATAATATAAATGTATATAATTTATAATTAACCGTTCAATGACGTTTCCAAATATTTTTTTTACATGGACGACATCGATTTTCACGTACGGACATTTTTCACAGACGGACGATTTTTGCATCCTACTATTCTGTTTTGGCGGACGATTCTGACGACGTATCGATATCGGCGGCATATAAAGTTCACAGTTCATATGATGTATGAAAATCATCGTTGAGCAATTAATGTAAAATATGATAATTAACATATAATTTATATAAATTATAATTATTGAAACTTGTGCGTTAATAAAATTAAAATACATATATATTTATTAAAAAACTTGCGGTTTAGGTCCAATTCCACCTGCACAATCGTAGACCACCGATGCTACATCTTTAATTAATTTATCAAGATCGCATAAATTTTCACATTCTGCATATATTCGTACTATATCTTCAGTTCCTGATGGTCTAGAAATAAAAATATCTGATTTGAATATTTCATACTTTTATAAACAATTTTATTTATACCATGTGTTTAAATAAAGTTTAAGCAGAAACTTTTAAGGATTATTAATTATAGTGAAAATTACGAATTACCTTACAAAACATCGTCCTCTTTTATATTGTGATACTATTTCATCAATAGCATCTTGTAATCCTTCAGGTGTTATACATTGTGTTCCTACATTAGTCGTTGTAATAATACTTTTATCATAAACTTTCATTTTTATTTGTTTATTTGGTAAATCGTCGTACATTTTTTCCCATTCCATAATATCCCAACCTTTTGCATGTAAAATTGTTTCTACTAGCAACATGTCACTTAAAGCATCTCCAACTGTCTGATTAATCATATTTATTATATTTAACAATTTTGAGGCAGCTTCTTTCTCGTTTGTAGATCGTCTGTAATATATATCTACATATCTATCTATCTATTTATCTATATGTATATCGTGAAAAATGCACATAATGTAATTAAATAAAATTTACTCTGGATTTGTGACAGCTTCCTTAATTGTTTTAATAACAGTTTCTTTGAAAAGCACAGTGCCATGGCCATTTGCTTCAAAATATATACCTATATCAAATTCTAGTGCTTTATTATGTAGATGTTTAATACCAGTCGGTACGCAAACAGCTGGAATTTGCTAAAATGATAATTATGAAAATAATATACATAAACATAAATTCAATGTATAATCTATGTCTTGTGAAAAATACTAAAATATTTCAAAGCATTAATAAACAATCAACAATAAATATACATACTAATACGTTTAAGATATAATCAGTAGAACTACCATTAGCGTATGCTGTTTGTACTAAACCAAGTTGAAATGATAAATGACTTTCTTTTAAAAGCTCTTTGAGATATTCAGCAATGAGTGTTGCTATTTTATCACCATCCAAAATATGAAATTTTTCGTATTCATCCACATAGAAATAAACAATTCTATCTGCATCACCATCTATAGATACAGATCTAAAATTTCGTTTGGCATGAAAGTTTACAGGTGGTACTTGTTCTACTTTGACAAAATCAGCTCCACACTACAAAAATTAAACAAGGTATTACAATATCAGACTTTAATTAAATGAGAATATTGTAATTAAAAAATATACCATAAAGTTTAGTTTGCCATAGCCATCATTGTATATATTAATTGCAAGTGTTGTTCCTAAATACTTTTGAAATTCTTTTGCAGCAATAGCTCCAACACCATTGGCGGCATCTAGTAACAATTCTGCCACATACTGTCCATTGTTAATCTGCTTTTGTCTTACATATTTAAATGCTTCTGATATTTTTATATAATAACCATGTAATGTAGGATCACCATAATTGCTCTTTGTGTTTGTACATACAACAAGATAATGTAACTGAGGAGTTGTAACTATGCCAAAATCTTGTACAATTCCATACAAAGCTTTAATTCCCATAACAGCAGCATTTAATAATGTAGGGCTACTTTCTCTTGTGTCTCTACCAGTTATTACAATTGCATCTACAGACATATTAATATTTTCTTCTTCTATAATATGCTTTATTGTAGAAACTAAATTTCTATCTTCCACATTAACTAAATTGGTAGCTATTCGTTCCCAAGCTGCTTCTAACATTTCACCAGCTGGATCTATAAGTTTCACACCATTATCAGATTCAATATTATGACTTGCCGTAATCATTAAACCAATTGCAGCTATGAAAAAAAATAAGATCTTTTTAATTTAACATTAAGAATAAAAAAAGAACATAGAACAAAAGTTTCCATTGTAAGTTTTCCAAAATATACGATGTAATGAATTTTATGTATGAACTTACCATTTTTAACTTTAGATCTCAAAACTGCTAGCAATCCCATTCTATATAAGACATGTTCAAGAGCATTTGCCCTAATAGAAAATTAAAAGCCTCATAAAAACTGTATATAACTATAAACTGCATATATGACACAATATAATTCATAAAATATTTATTTAGAAAAATTAAAAAATTTCAAGCTTAATTTCTTAGCTTATACTTTAATTTCACTGAAATAATAATATTTTTAAACAATAAAGAATTAAATACATTTGAAAGAGAATTTAACTGACAGTCATAATAAAATAAATATACATGTATAGTTTAACTAAATATATATGTATAGTTTATTAAATTATAAAGATAAAATAATTACTTTGTTCTAAATCCTGCCGTCCCATATTGGATATTGTCACTGTATTTTCTCATATATTTCATATTAGGAATATTTTTTAATTGAAAATATTCCATTATTTATTAGTCTTTTGTTTATTAAAACATATACAATTTATTTTTACGTATATAATAACACCTACAATATGGATTAAATGTCAAAAAGTGAAAGTAAGGCTGTAATTCTACAATAACATATAGTTTAATCCTCCGCCTACTATGCCGGAGTCAGTTTGACCACTCGAATGCAATAACACAGTGATGGGAGCTGCTTGTTTAGTGATCGCACGAACATCATGCGGCTAACACGTGTCTGTGAAGTGACGAAGACTGAAGACGAAAAAAATCAGTTTCTGGTAATGTTCCGAAGAAGAAAGACGTTTGCAGCAAATTGGAGCAATTTTTTATTCCAAAGTTTATTTTACATTTTAGTGTTTTTATTATTGTTTTAGTATTTTAGTATTTAGCATTTAATAGTTTGTATTATTTTTGTTTTTAGTATTTAGTATTTTATACTATTTTTGTACTTTTGCTATCTATTATTTTATTATATAAATACTTTTAATATTTTTACTATTTAGTTTTTAATTTTTAACATTATTTTAATATTTTACTACTTTTTATTATTATTTTTGTTCTTTTTATTATTTTTTTCCGTTGTTTCTATTTGTTAACGTAATGTCTTCATTGCCAACGAGCAATCTTTCTCTGTCTTCCTTCGCTCAATAAATATAATTTTATTATTCATGTGATTATTATTTGTTCTTATATGAGTCGGGTATCTATCACTGTGTTAGTACAATATCGATGAGGACATCGGTCTCGAGCGACCGTCACTCTGGTTAATACAATATCGATGAGGACATATGTCTCGAGCGACCGTCACTCTGGTTAGTACAGTATCGGTGAGCCGCTCGGGCGACCCTAAATATGCATTAGTGGAACATCCGTGTGGATCAGAACTGGCCTGTCATAGAACTTTGAGCTTCAATAATTGGAAGGTTAAAGAGTGGTTGATGTACTCTTTTAAAAACACAAAATTTTTTCTACATCTGACATATATTAAAAAAATCTTGAAATCAAAATTTATTTAGTGTGAATATTTAAACAATAAATTAGTTAACTTTAGTTATTGAGCTTTGTTTAATGTTTCAATGAATTAACAAGAGCGCAAAAATAGATTTTTTTGCAGAAATTATTTTTTTTTTCACATATATAATTATAACATATATAATTTTTAACTTTTCATCATAATACACAGTATACTTGTATTAGAATATTATTCTTATTAGATGGATAAATCTATAGCTTTACTTTTATCAAATTAAACATATCACACGTTTTAAAATACTAAACATCTGTTCAATATAAAAAATAAACATATAGGTTTAATTTAAGAAGTGGGTTGCATAAATAAACATATAGGTTTAATTTAAGAAGTGGGTTAATTATTATTTATACATATTTTTGAATATTATATTTGATGTTCAAAATACATTATTTTAAAAAATGAAATTAAATTTCTTAAAAATTAACATTACTATATTATAAATATTTGTATAAATCATATTTAATATTTTATATAAATTTAAAAAAATAACAATTTTATATAATTTAAAAAATAATGGCATAGAATTCAAAAGTATTTCTATATCTAAACTTTCAATAATAACATAGATGATTGAACTAAACTACAATTCGTTTTAAAATTCGTTTTTTTTAATCCTTCAAATTTATCATTAATGTTCTTCTCATTTTTATTATATATTTCAATATATCAATTAACTTCTGGTTCTATTTTTATACTAGTTTCAGTTATTACATTTTCATTTTTTATACATTTTCTTAATTCAAGACCAATAGCCAGAGCAAGTGGAGGAGGAACTGCATTTCCAATTTGCTGTATCTTATGCGTTATATGACCATAAAAGCGAAAAGAATCAGAAAATCCTTGAGATCTAGCCCATTCACGTACAGATAGTAGCCGATTTTGTACTGGATGAAATACATTACCCTTGAAAATTAAATTAATTACTTTAATTATATATTCATATGACAAATATTATATTATAATTATTTTATAACTAAATTTAAAATAATTTTTGATACCTGCCAAAATATAGGGGACATATGTGTTATAGTTGAAGCAAAATATCCATTCCATTGTACTCTACTATATTGACTATGTTTCGTTTTTCTAGAATGTACCAGAGACCATGGAATTAAAGTTTTAAGTTGTTTATCTTGACGATTACATTCTTTTCCAGTACAACAACGACATACTCCACGATATGCTCCTGTAGAGCTTCTTCCATAATTTTTATCATCATAAGTATATTTTCTTAAATAAAAAATTGAAGTTGTATATCGTCAATCATAAGAGGAAGTTTGAAAAATCATATTTTACTTACAATTTGTTAGTATAAGTACCGTTTCTTAATTTTACTATAATATTTGGTAAATCACGCCAATCACCATCAATTGGAATATGAGCTATTCTAGCTTCATTAAGAGGTGTTAGTTTTTTAAATATGTGATCTCTTAATAATGGTTGTTTTCCTCTCATCTGAAAAAATATAACTTTATACAGATTATAAATTTGAAGGAATCAGTTTTTTATTCTCTTAAAATATTTTTATCGAATTGTTACTTTTCTTTGAAAATGTGATATTGGTTCATTTGGATATGGCATTTCTTCTGCAAAACATTCAATTTCTGCTAAGTCAGATATTGCATCCTTAACAGTGAGTGTTCTAAATGGTGCTGAATTTTCACCATAATATATATCGTACTGAAATATGTGTAGCATATTAATATTAAGTAATTAAAATGATATAATAGTTTAAGTTATAAATGTTATTATTTACCTATTATATTATGTTATTGGTTCTGTTATAGCGATAAATATCACTTACCGGTGTTTTTTCAACCGCCACATATATCTTATCGTTGAAAGTATGTATAGGTTTTGGATATTTTGGAAGTATTTGTCCAGGTGCAGCAGCTAGTATTATTAGTCTACATGATAAAGTGAAATATTAATATGATAAAATGAAATATTAAAAAATGATGATAAAATTATTATAAAATATATTCAATACATATGACAACCTTCGTCTGATTTGAGGTATTCCATAACTTCCAGCTTGAAGAATACCTAATGTACATTGGTAACCCATACGAATTAGGCATTGTAATGTTAATTTTAGAACAATACTCTTTTTAAAATATACGAAAAATCGAACATTTTCCATTATAAAGAAATTAGGTCTATAGTAATCACAATATGATAAATATGTAACAATCAGTGAATTTTTTAAGACTGTAGAGTCTGCTGAACGAAACTTATTCATTGTAGAAAAACCTTGACATGGTGGCCCACCACACAATAGTTCTACTTGCCCTTTTTGAGGAAATTTCTGGCCAATTTCATTTGCTATTTCACCCTAAAATTATAATAATTGTTACATTCTCTAGTAAAAAAAAGTATAATATTAAAATTGTAAATTATATTAATGTCACATACAATCATAATTATACAAAACTATTTACATTCATGACTTTTTTTAATATTATATTACAATCTTCAATAAATACTGTTGTATTAGGATTGTTCAAACAAAATCCATTTGCAAGTATTTTATCTTTTTCTATAGCCCAAAGAGTTTCAGCTACACCAGCTTGATGTAAACCTTCAGATAATCCTTCAAATAAATCTGTCTATTATTTAAACTCCTTTTTTTGTTAATTTATTATGCTAAAAATATTAAGAATTATATACCACCACAACCAGCAAATACATCCAATGTTCTTAATCTTTTTGATATTTTGTCATATTTAATAGGTCTACTTGCAAATAATGTTTTTTCATCCTCCACTGTTTTTTTGCCTTTAAACTTTAAATCGTCTTTATTTTTATATTTACCAATGCGAGTGGCATGATGTGGTGGTTCATAAAACATTTCTTTTTGTGCATTATAAGCCTCATTAAAATAAAATCGATTTGGTCCTTCAGCAGACCATTCCTCAATAGTTTGGTTCAAATTTCCAGAATAAGTAAGATAGCATTTTTCGATAACTTCTTGAAATTCGATATCATACACTACAAAATTACATTTTATAATTTATAGTGTGTTGTATGTGCAAAAGTTTATATCTATGTTTTACATATTTCATAAGAACATAAAATTTTTTTCTATATACCTTCATCACTCCAGTAAACCATATTTATATCTGCTTGTTCTACTAATGTAAAATTTTTATGTGTATTTTCTGGTCTATATAATTTGTTCACTTTAATAAAAATGTCATATGGTGAAACTAACACATCGTTTGTAATAGTATATATTTGATTTATATATCCTATACAAAAAGGATCAAAGACCTTAACCCTATGAGAAGAAAAAGATTTTTTATAGTATTCGGGATACATTTCTTCATCTACAATGTCCTTCAATTCTGGCTTTTGGTACAAAATTTTATGTTTAAACCTAAAAATATCTGATTGTAAGAGTACACTTGTTCCAACTCTATAATCTTCTCCCTTATATTTTACTAAACCATAAATAACTTCTTTGCTATTTTTTTCTTCTATTCGTTCATATACCTCCAAATATAAAAAGATATAAATATCATAAATAAATATATAAAATAACATATTGACAATTTATAATACATATATAACATCACTATAAATAGAACCTTTACAAATGAACAGTGCTAATATTACATACCTTTGGTATATTGAATTGTTCTACTGCCCATAAATGTGCACAAGCAGGACAAAATTTATGACTATTCTTTTTATAAGGACATTTTAAATCAGGTAAAGGATCTTCAAATCTAACTGCTTCAGGTACATAACGTTTCTGATAAAAAAATGTTTTACCATCTAGATCTTTCATTTTAGTCTCAAAATTTAAATTTGTATTACCTATAATTATAAAGTCAAGAACATTTTTTCTTTTAATATTAGTATCAAAAACTAAATCAAATATTAAATATATTACATAATTCAGTCCAATTTTTTGATGCATCTTTGAAGATAACAGTACATTTAGATCTGACAGCTTTAAGTGGTACATCATCACAATTATAACTTAAAAATAATTCTGTGGGATCTGATATTTCTCTAAGAATAGTATCGTTTCCTCTATACAACCAATTTGCATGAAATTGTTTTATACCATTTGTATTTTCCCACATGTAAATAACTTTAGCCACATACGATGGAACTGCTTGACTTTTTGGTTCTACAAGTACGTAATCATTTAATTTTATTTTTTCATCACTTATTTTAACAGATCTGTAAAATGTTTTTAGATTATCACTGATAATTTGATCTCCTATCCATACAATATCTTTTTCAAATTCCTTAACAATTTTTTTCTTGCTTGCTTCTTCAGTCTTGGAATAGAAATATTTATATATATATAACATGTATAAATAGTAAAAGAACATATAAAAATATAACAATATTTCTTTAATAGTCATATTTGGAGATTTTTTAATGCAAACCTTTTTCGGTCTTCCTCTTTTTGTATTCTTCATTTCTATTTCAGGTTCCTAAAAATATAAAAAAAAATATATATATGTATAATTAAATAGAACTTATTTATATTTATTATTTAAGACATATATATTCTTTAGATATAGTTATATATTATTAACCGTTTGCGTGCCATGCAGCGCGGTCACACTGTTCAAATTTCGTATCAAAAAGATTAATTATATTTACTCGCGTTGAGCGATTACTATTAATGCGTTTGGATTCTTCCGAAGTCAGCGTGCCTAACTTGATACATTCTTTCCTAATTACCATTATTTTTATTTAATAAAAACTAAAAGTATTTATAAACTAATAGTACTAATATATAGATTGCATTGTACAACATACATATACAAGACAGACGACAGAATAGAATATTTTAATTTGAAGTTTCGTTTTTGAGAAAATCGAGTTTGAAGACATATCAAGTACATGTGTAGACAATTTTTAACGAAACATATTTAAAGTCTATTTTCTAGAAAATGAAGTTAAATGAAAAAATTTTATTCTATTTTTCTTAGTTATTTTTACACGTAGAGTAAAATTATTCTTTTCTATCACATCTAAAATTAACTAAATTCAAATATACTTGATAAATCTTTAAAATTAGTTTTCTTGAAAACAAAATCAAAACATTTTATTTTATATTTTTTTCTTATTTTTTTGCGCCCCCTGTCCGCTTGTTATTTCGATGTACCTTGTATGATAATACTGATATAAATCATGAACTAATATATCATAAATTAAAAATATTTTTAATTTTAAAAACAAACAGTATTTCAGTTGATAAATAATTAAATTTTGACATTTATGTTTATCAAAGCACATCGGACATAAATAAAACAAGAGCCGTTTTTCGACTTCATTAAAATTAGTGTTATCGTGCCTTTTGGCGTTTTTCAACAAGATTTTTTCCTTGGGATTCAAACGGTTAATAATTATTTGTCATTATTATATATGTATTAATTTTAAAAATTCAAGCTTACTTGTATTGTTAATTTAGTATTTCCAAATATATCCTTAACTAATTGTGTAGCAGTTATTTCAGTATTCTCCGGATACTCATTCTCGGATTTTCTCTTTCGCTCCTTTTTATTTGGACTTTCTGATAGATCAAAATCAATACCTATAGCTACAAAATTTGCTAATGCTTGCATACAAGGGCTGTTAGTAAGATCTATCGCTGAAGTAGAATTATCAAATAATAATATTTGATGATATATAAATTCTACATGTTTTAGTAAAAAATTTTCAGTGAATTTTGTCATGTTTTTTGGTAGTTCTATGGTCTGTGGAAATTATACAATATATTACTTTGATATAAAATAAAATGTATTTCTTATAACTTCTTCAATATTGTATTTAAATTACTTGAAGTTTATTGATCAAATCTTCATAGCTAAGATTAATATCATCTAAAAGAAACTTGATAACACAGTTACTCATATATATTTTTTCTTTTAAAACATCCATAAAAGGAGCATATTCTTCAGATGGATCCATTAGAATATATTCACAAGAGTTTGTAATGAAAATTACATGTATCAATTCTTTTCTTTCATCAAAACGAGATATGTACCACCTATTTATAGGACCCACATCTTTTGCTGGTACTCCACCCTCAGGTGATGCATCTTCTTCATAAATACTTTTTATATAGCCAGAAAAATATAACTGTACCTTTTTTTCTATAAGTCCAGTGTCAAAAGCACATAAATGATGATCTTTATCATAAACACTAAAATTAATAAAGTTTTTCCATTTTTTTTATAAGATATATAAAACTATTTACAAAAAACAAGAAAATTTTACCTAAAACAAGTTAGTTTAGTTTTAGGATAATGGCCATTTTCATGCATAAAAGAAATTTCATCTTTAAATAAATGTAATTTTGGATCAATTAAAGCACTATTTTCATTTAAGGCACCATTTGGATGACCCTGATAAATTTTCATGTCAGTTTGACAACAATATTTACATTTAACACGCATATATTCATATGATTTTTCAAATATTGGTAAACTTATAGTATCTTCAACTTTAACTTTTTTTACAGGATGTTCATCAAAATAGTCTTCATCTATTTCTGAATTCTCTAAAATTTCTTCAATTTTATCAATCTCATCCTCCAATATCATATTATTTTCTGTTTCAATATATTGAGAATTCTGTAATTCTTTTCCATTAATCACATTATAGTTCAATCGTTTTCTTTTACCAAATTGTTCAGAAAACTCATCCATTGTAGTTGATTGATGATTAGATTTGAATGCAACGATGCTTATTGTAAAATGATATAAAAAATTTGGTGGACTACAAATGTTTTTATTATTTAATTTCTTGTGTGGTAATATTATAATAATATTAAGTATTATTAAACAGAATAATGTTAATCACTTGTTATGTTATTATTACAGCATAAATATTTATGGAAATTTGAAGTATAAATAAGATAATAAAATAAATCTAAAATAAATTAACAATCTAGATTATTCTTAAACAATCTTTCTTTATAAATTGTACATGTTCCTTTTACTTGTTCCATATAGTGAATAATTTAAAAAGATATAAATATGTACATAAATATAATTAATAAACATCAGTAACTTACGTGACCAGTAACTATTTAAAACTTTTATATACATTAATACTTTATATATATATATAACTTTTATATTACATTAATAAATTTATGAATATATTTTAATATATAATATATTTACTCTTAGAACAATTAAAATTTATTTAAAATAATAATATACTTTTATAGTTGATCTGCTCAATTTAGATTCTGAATGTAGTTCTGAAAACATTCTTATATATATGCTGATGATTTTTTTCAGAATGGTTAACGATTTTCTTATATTTATTTTCCCGCCGTAGAATGTTTTTGTCAGAGTTTCTTTTTCAGTTAGTGACCCGACAGTGAGATATCTTATTTTGATTTATAAATACTTTGCGATTTATTTAAATTAAAAGCGAATTTAATACTGAATAGTTTCAGTATTTATATTTTTAAAAATATTGAATTTTATTTGTAGTTGATATATTAAAATTAATAGGTTAGATTGGTAAGAAATTAATTACATATATATACATCTTAATAATAGTATTTCCATGTATTTAATTGTTTTTTGCTTTGCACGCGAAAAAAGCAATTTGTTCATGTTTTATTGTCATCAGTTAAAAAATATATTTACAAAAATGTAGTCAAGTACGTATTAAGTAATATTAAAATTACATAGAAGTAATAAAATAATAAAAATAATAAGACAGCTTTGTATCTTGTTTATAGGATACCTGTTAAAATGAAACTTCATTGCAATATAGAAGTGAATAACAGATTATCTGTAACAAATGTGATAAGGAGGAGATCACAACGTTCTATTTTAGTAATTGGAAGACAAACAATAAAAAGTACAGAGACATATATTCTTTGGCAAACATTACAAAATAAACTGGGTACTAAATATAAGGTAAATTGTTTATACGTGCATATAATCTGCAAATTAAAATAATATATCTAATAAGATGTTATTTAAAATACGTATCTTTTTAAAAGAAAGTTGAAAAATTTTATATGTACCCTTTCAGGTTAATAATAATATAGATAAAGTATATACAACATTTATTGATGAAGGAAAAGCTACAATTCGCTTTATACAACCACCTCATGATTTAATTATTCAATCTGACAAAATTCAACTTAAAAGTTTTATTCATATCTTAAAACTCACATTAACTAAAAACATTAATCCATCAGTTCTTGCTGTTTCAAATTTGAACCCAAAATGTATGAGTTCTTTACCAAAGATTAAAGTAGTGGTTAATAAATCTTCTGAGTATCCAACTTTAGAAGGTTTTCCAAGGACAACTGAAGAATTATATTTAGTAGGATTAAATAGAAAGTCATTTGACAGACAAATTTTAAAACTTCAGAGCTTAAAAGTTTTGAATTTATCTAACAATCAGATTTCATCTTTACCAAAGGAATTAGGCACATTACAGCATCTACAAGAACTTATTTTATCACAAAATCGACTTGATAAAGCTTTAAAATGGACATGGTTAGATCAAATTGCTATAAGATCGAATTTAAAATTATTGGACATGAGTAATAATTTGGTATGTGACCATTTCATATTTTATAAAAAATACTTATTATAAGTTTTATCTTTATTTTGTTATTAGATATGTTTTTCTCTTTTTAATTCAGTTACAAAGATTACCAGAACAAATTGGAAAGCTTGGCAGCCTTGTTAATTTGAAAGTTAGTCAAAATATGTTATCTTACTTACCGCAAAGTCTTGGAAAGTTATATAATTTGAAATATTTAGATTTATCAAAAAATAATTTGCATTGTTTACCTGGAAGTATGAGGAATTTACATCTTATTTCACTAGATGTATCAAATAATGACTTTCCTTTTGTAGATTCATATTCTATGTGTAAAATAGATGTTCCGAGTTTAACTGAATGTGCAGCCAGGTCATTTCTGAAAATAAGGTTTGTATAATATATAATTTAAACAGTTTATTTTAATTTTGACTTAAAAACTAATAACAAGATTGAAAAGAGGAACATATGTACATATGTCTATTTTAATTTATGTGTAGACATATCAATGTGCTTTTTTTTTGCACAGGTGCTCATATGACGCAAGCATAATTCCATTCACATTAGTAAAATATTTAGATGAAGCAAAATATTGTGTCTGTGGTAATGCATGTTTTCATTGTTATATAAGAAAATTTGTAAGATTTAGTTTAAATATAATAGCAAATACTATAAAGTCAACAGAAACTACTCTTATACCATTTGATTGCTACTTCTGTTCAATAAAATGTGTATCTTATGCAAAGCTACAATACTAAAATAACCTACTTGTAATAAATATTTATATTATTTTGTATCAGAATGTATAAAAATATATTTAAGGAAGTATTATTAAATAAAACTTTAAAATACTATGGACAAACCTTTAAGATAAAATTAAAAATGTTATTATTTAACTACTTTCCTGACAAACGATAAATTTACTAATGTAAATAATAGTTAATAAAATAAAATAATAAAAATTAGTGGCATTAACTTATTTTATTTTATGACCTTATATATATAAATGAAACTTTCGAGGAATTAAATTGATCAATTCCTTTTATTGAAAACTTTTTAGTTTCATTTCAGATATATGATTTATATTTAAGGTTTTAAAAAAATAAATTATTTATTTCTTTTATAGTTTATTTATTACAAAAAAATGTAAGTAGAAAAAATAATTCATTGCAAATTAAACAAGTAAAATTAAAAGTAATATTTTTTTTACAAATTCAATTCAATTAATCTTATTTTAAAGATAAATAATTAATTTTTGTATAATTATTTTATAAAATTTAATTTTATTTATTATACAGGATTCGTGACTAACCGACTGGGAAATAAGTCTACTAGTAAAAATAAATAGAAAAGAAAGAATAAAATGTTCATTAAAATTTTTATTTTCAAACAAAATTGAATTTGAAAATTTATTAAATATACTTAAATTTGGCTAATTCCGTTTTGGAAAGACACGAGTAATGTCATGAAGATATTCCATATGGAAAAATAAATGAAAAGTATGGAAAATTTTAAGGTATCATTTTCAAGAAAAGAGATTTTGAATATATTTCGCTAAAAATTGTTTTATACGTGTACTTGATAAATTATCAACTTGAATTTTCTCAGAAATAAAACGTCTTCTGAAAAAATTGTATTCCAGATTTTTCGTTTATTTGTTTACACAGAATAATTTTCATTATTGTTAAATTATTTATTTTTATTCAGTTATTATAAATTAATTTAATTTAAGTGTAACTTAAGAAATATTTAAATCGATTTTCTCGAAGCCTCGGAAAAAAAATTTTATTTTTCCTTTCCAATTCATTTTCACATGTAGAATTACCTCTCAATCACTTCCCGATTGGTTTTCTATGGGTCGTAGGATACTATATATTACTTTTCTAAGAACTTAAATATTTTAGAATTATTAAAATTACAATAAATATTATTTTCAGTGTATTTTAATATATCAAACCACTATTATAATAATGTTCTAAATTTAATTAAAAAATATATTTTTAAATTGCATAAGGAAATCTAAAATACATAATTTAGATATTAATATGAAAAAGTATTTATTGTAACAATTTTAATCATTAAAAAAATGCTATATACAAACTCCTTTTATTCTCTGCAATATCTTATATGACGCTTATTACTTAATTCATAAAAAATTAACCTTATAATGTGAAAAAATCTAATTAATTATCGAATAAGATTAAAATACATTTTGAAAAAATTATTTGAACATTTTTTAAGTATGAAAAATATAAAATCATACACAGAACTTAAATATTCAGTGATTTCATATGTAATTATTGCAAAAATATGTATAAAAATATATCATTTATTACAAAGACATAACTTTAAATTTCTTAACAGAAATCTCTACATTAAAATGCAGGAACATAAAGTAATCCATTGTTTGAAAAATATGTAATACTGATACTATTAAATTAAAAAAATAACAATAAAGATACTTTGATTTAATTTTTTTTAATATTCAGAATTTATGTAAAAAAATCAATAATAAAATTAAATTATTTATTTTTGTTTAATTGCATTTTTTTTTTCACTGTACCCGTTTTTACAAAATTGAATTCAGAATCATCCATATTAACATAAAATTGTAATGGTGTAGTTGCTTTTTTTTTACCTATGTGTGGTACAGTAAAGTCAATATTTTTATATTTATCTTCAGCTATAGGTGCAACTTGTAAAGATGGAACAAATACTTCTGAGGCTTCCGGGCATTGAACAAGTCTCGCATCATTTTTTTGACTTGATGAAGGAACATTTTCATCCTATTGTGTTATATTATTTAATAATCATGATAAAAGTAGATAATTTAAGATAATACTCTATACTAACCAGCATTTTTTTAATGTCTGTGGAATCATTTGGTACATATAAGTCATTTATTGATATTTTCTGACTGTTTAAAAGCCCTCTAACTACTGCATTTTTATTAAGTCTACATTTTTTTAAAATACTTTCAACATTTTCAATATCGTCTTTATCTTCAGTCTTGGTATTTTCATTACTAACTTCTGTAGTTAAATTTTTATCACAATTATCAGACTGTACGTTCTTGAAACTAGTATTAGAATATAAACTAGCTTCCCTTTGTCTAATTTTCCAGTTTTCTTCAAGTTTTTCATTCGAGTAGTTAATACCACAATTTGCCTACAAATAAAAATCTGCTTACATATCCTATGTATTTGCTACAATTTAATAGTCAAAGTTAATACATTATATTTACTGCTAAAATAGAGGATGCAATTTCATCTTCCCGCAAGATATTTTCTTGAGGTAGAGCAGAGCTTTGACTACTGCTAGTATCAAAATCATATAGCTGCAAACATTTAAAATAATTAAAATATTTCTTCATTTGTATAGTTGCTTAATAATTGCTATTATCTCTAGTTATTTGATTACATTATATTGTCATTTATTTGTTTCAATTAAACTACGTGTTTAAAAATGATATTTATTTTTGAATGTACTGAAGCAATAAAATTACTAACATTTTCATTTCGTGGAGGTCTAAGTTTCCTTAATTTTGGATTTCGTTTAACTGTATCACAGTCCTCTCTACGTATAAATACAACATTCTCATCTGTCTGAGGTATTTTTCTTACTTTTTGAATATCATCGTATAAAGTCATTGTAAAAATAATCTGAAACTTAAAAAAGTATAAAAAAATGAATATGATAATTTCTTGTTGAATTTCGTGAGTTTTATAGTACGCAATTTGTTATTATTATAACGAATTAAAAAATTGTTTATATTTTAAATTATATTTTTTATATATTTTAATTTTAAATAAAAAATTAATACAGTTGTATCTTAATTATATTTCATACACAAATATATTAGATGCACAAGTTACTAATAAAAATTTCATGTATTTATTGCACTTTCATTAAGAATAAGTCAAATTAAATATAAAATGAAGCAAATAAAAAAAACACTTATATTAAATGTATATATGTAATGATAAATCAACAAGCAAATCAGACGCAAATTTAAAAAATCAAGAAACATTCGTAAATTTGTATTAATTGCAATATAAAATTAACATATTTACGTTATTATAGCTTTCTCTAACGATTTAATTGTCTTTATAATAATAATATTACTCTATATTATAAAGTATTAATTAAGGTTAAATCTTTGTTATGACGATTGCATTGTTTGTAAACATGTATTCGTCATAACTGACAATTTTTGATTTTGGCTTTGGATAAGAAATTACCAAGTACATCGGTAATATAAGTTATGTAAAAAAAGAGTTACATTTTTATGTAAACAATATTATAAAAAATTACAAAGGAAGTATCAATATCACAATTTTAAATTTCAAATTAGTTTGTTTATTGCAACACGTTCACAATTTATGGATCTTAATGTTACATACATATATTTTAAGTACAAAAAATATTGTCATACATTAATTGAAATATCAAGAACATTATAATATCAAAAAGGGAATTTTTGTATTCTTTTTATTTATTTACAGAATATGAAACGTAGACAATAAAAATTACAATGGTTTAATGAAAAGAACGAGATATTTATTACTATACCTATTTACTATACTATTTAAATTTTTCTATATATTACTATATTTATTACTATACTATTTAAATTTTTCATATCGTGCTGATATTTTACGAGTAAGACATAAATTCGCGTTTCTTAAATAATTTAATCCCTCTACTATTCTAAACTCTGCGGCTGAATCATCAATGACAGTATATAAAGCAATGTTCGTCAGTGAGCTGTCAGTCAGGGACATATACATATTCAACAATTATATCTGTATAAATTTCTATTTCGCGCGTGTATTGTAATTAATGCCAATGTATGCTGCGAATGTACAGTTAATTTGCAATGTTTTGTAAATGATGTCCTCTTGAATTATTCACCAGCCGAGGAATCAATTCTACACGTGGACAATGCAGGTTAGAATCTAACAATATGAATAAAGATTAATCAAAGTTTGAGTGAGTTATTTTCTTAGCTGACAGCACATTTGTTGATAAGATATCTGTATTTTTTTATAGATTTTTGTGTATTTATACTTGGAAATAGAGAGCGACTTATATGCAAATGTCAATGTAAAAATTTCTGGCATGTAATATGTATGTTTATGAAAGTTTCGGTAACATGAGTACAGAATACAGAAATCTAGAGATACAGTTGACATAGACACTCTCTTCATTTTTTTTTCTTTTTTGCTCGAATGAAAATATTTCAATAATATTTAGATTATTTGAAACTGAGTTTATGTACAAAGCTATTTTTCCATCATTTTCATCTTTCAATTTTTCATTTTAAATTGTATTAAGATGTTTCTGAACTTTTTTTAAAATTGCTGATTTAATATACAATATACAAAATTGAATGGAAGACACAGCGTTGTTAACGGTTAATTTGCATTTTCGCTTGTACATTTCGCATTGACATACAGGCGCGGTAAATTTAAATCATGGATTTTTATATAAAATAAGAATAAATATTCCTTTTTCATTCTACGCTTATACATGTAATATATAAGGTGAATAAGAAACTCGAACTAATTCAATGTCCATTAATCTTAATAAATATTTAAAATGAAATTTATTGTATTCAAGAGAAATTACGTTTTTACTTTTATATATCTTACAATGTGAAAAAATATGATACATGAATATAAGTTACCTTGATGTTGTTCTTGACACTACGTCGACAGTTATTAAAGACGCACATATATATATGTATATGTATATACACGTTGAGCTTATGACATTGACGAATAATAAAAAACAAATAGATTTTATCAAACTCAGAAGTAACAGATTGTTCAAAAAGGAAACGGTTAAGCGAGGAATTCATCTGAGCTACATATAGAGTTGAATTGGAAAATGTTACATCGACAAATATCAACATACTATACTATACGATCTCCTCGATTCTTTACAACCCTTTCTGTATCGGATGTTATTTCGTACGAGCACCGGGAGAGGGTCTCAACCGATAACTGGCTCAATCGAATTATCTCGCATCTTAAACTATGCACAGATTATTAGCTCGTGGTTCGAACAGCAGTCTCGCCACGAGGTGGCCCAGGTGCAACATAGCTATACGTATCTCTTGAGTCAGCTTTGTAATGTTCATTGTATGTAGGTATGTAATTTTACATGCCTTGAGATGAACGATGATAATTTTTAAGACAATTAACTTAAATAATTTTAAATTAATTTAAAGTTTTTAAAACAATTAACAGCCACTCAACTCGAGTTGGCATATCATTTCTGTGATTTTTCAAATCACGTGGGTGCGCGAAGAATTGCGCGAATAAATCTCGCAAGTACATCATGGTAATTATTTATTGATCATTTATCTAACATTGAGATCATAATCTTGATTTAAAAAAACAAAATTTAGTTTCAATTCTCTGTCAGTTTTCTAAAGTTAGGCATTTTATTGCATCGACTGCAAATTTTACACTGTACTTTATACCTCGATATTACATGGGACGCGATACTAAAGGTCAGCGAATAATTTACCCTTGCTCTTAAATTGTACGATACTAGCAGCTCATGTATTATGTCTTGTTATAAATTTAAATAACCTGTTGCAATAAAAAATAGTATCATAAATTCAGAACTCTTAATTTTTTGCAAACAGATGAATTCTGCTTGAATGATTGGTTTTCGAATGCTGAAAAATATAATTGCAATTCATAGCTTTTTGTATCGTATGTAACAGACATACATTTCTCTAATCCACGTACAGTTATGGTTATTTTTAAACAAAGAAATGAAGAATATGAGAAAAAGTTATATTTATTAGTATAAAGACATTTTCTTCGAAATAATATTGCAATGACTTAATACTTATTAAGTTTTCAGTATCAATGTCAAAATAAAATAATTGTTTTTTTCAGAATTTTTGCAGAGTATAAACAATACGCGTACCGCAAATGTTGTAAAATTAAATTAATATTAAATTTATATTATAAAATATAAAACTACGTTATAAATATATATATAAATATATAAATAATATAGCTTAGTATAAATATATAAATATAACTACGTTATATATATATTATATACGTTATATTATAAATGTATAAATATAACTACGTTATATTATAAATATATCATAAATATATAAATATAACTACGTTATAAATATATAACATATAATTATCGAAAAGTTATATACCGCATAAAGTGATTGGTTTGTTACGACTGAAGTTTTATTGTACTTTACTTACTAAGCTGTTATAATTTGGCCAAAATTGTCTGAACAAAATTCTAACGTCGTTTAGTTTCGGATCTCTTACCGTGCGTCTTGGTGGTGGTATCGAAACGTTTGTGTTAAACCACACCACACGTGTTGAATCCTTTCATTGGTGGGTCTTTAGGAGGGGGTCGAGAGGGTGTGTAGAACATTTAATTCGAGCTTGCGAGGGAAGTCGTTGATTGAAGACGAGGTACGCCAGTTGTGTTTCGACGTTGCTTCGAGTTGAACTAGCAACTGCTTCGTACTTTCTTTCTTTTGTTTCGTTCTGAAAAATGTGTCGTTGAGCTCGAACGCAAAGGCAGTTATTGTTTACCAATTAATTGTTACCCTTCCATACGTATAAAATTGTTCCAACTGTTCAATTCTTATTTTGCAATTCTTTTCAAAGCGACGTGTGCCGTTGGACATAGTTCCAAGTATCTTGAGGTTTTCTTACGCGTAATTTCAGTGCTTGCTCGATGATTGCGATGCGAGAAAGTTAAAAAGTGCCTTTAGGGATTGTCGTTGAGGCTTCGTTGTTTCAAAATTGTACAATGACGAATCTGTCTCGTCTTCTTCTTCCTCAATTTACGAGGTCAGACTTTTATCCTGTAATTTATGAAGCCGTAATTTGAATAAAAAAAACCATGACAGAAGTGCTTAAAATTCTGCCGATTATCCATGTAAATGTTAATTGATGCAAACTGTTGTTTTCAATAATTACCACTACACCCGAAACTAGTCATAAATATCTGTCTTGTAAGTTGGAAATAAATTTTTTATCGGCTCTCGCTGAAAAGTTAATCATATTAGTATTGTTCATCTATCTTTGCTTTACACAAATTTCAGGTATTTCTGTTATAATCGTTGTAAGAAGTGGCAGAATAATTGTGAATAATTTCTAAAACATGTATACTTGATCGAAAATTTATTCGTTTCATTGATTTTGATGCCTCCTCATAAAACATTCAACACTTACTTGCTGTAAATACTATACGTATACATTGATAACGATATTGATAAAATTTTTATCATGAAGTATATCTGCTTCCTTCGACCGATAGAATTGTTATTGGGTATCTAACACACGGTGTACTGAAGATTGGAATTTTTGTGTTCGACTCGAAGGTGCTCCGTACAAGTAAAGTATTGTCTTAATAACAAGGTTCGTATATTATCTTGTATTTGGTATATAAATATAAATATAACAGAATACATATATGTACATAATGTATCAATTAATGCTTGCAATTATTTAATGTGTATTGTTATATAAAGCAAAAATTAAAATTAGGTTTCTGGGAGGTAGACCTAAAGCACGGTTAACACAGGATAATTAATAGAATCGATCAAAATTAAGTCCAGAGTACATTGAACAGCGTGTGTCTATGCGAACTATTATTTTCCTACGTTCGAGGTTTCTCTTTCCCCTCCCCTAATTAATTTAATAGCAATAGCTGAGTTAAAAAATGCTTATCTTCCCCTCTGAAAATGCGGATGTGCTACCACGTTTTTCAATCAAGTGTCATTAATCGAGGTTTTCGAAGCTTCGACCTAATTAATGGCGGCATTTTTTATTGGCGCATGACCGTATTTCAATCATGAATCTTTTAGACATACTTGTCAATTTCAAGCTCTTTGCACTGGAGAGAAAAAAACGAAAAGGAATTTTAAATGTAAGTGATTCGATGCTCGAACTTCGAGGGGGAAAGTTTTTCATATTTATTTTAATTTAGTGTTTTTTTTTTTTTTAAATAAACGCCGTAGTGTAATATCATTTAACATTAAAAAACGTAAAAGAGAACTGTTTCTTCTTACAGTCTGTAATACGCGGTATAGTTGAAATAGTAATGCAGCGAGTATGTGGTTCGAATGGAATTGTTCGTTTGATTCCTTTTATGAAATCACATTTTCTTCGGTTATTTTTCTTTAGGAAATAGGAAAAGATCAAAAAAGGCAAAAAGAATCGTTTTGAGTTCGAAGAAGTACACGTAAGGCTTGCTGAACTCCTTTAGGATCGAACGGTCGAACGTTTAGGTTGACGAACGTTTCGACTAATCCCGTTAAATAAATGTGAAAAGTTACTATTCTCCGAATACACTGCAGAATTGCATATTTAAAGTCTTGAACAATATAAGGCTAAAATATAATTTCTCTCTTTTTTTTTTAATTAGAAATTAACTTTTAATTATAACAGGTAGAAATTATGTCAAATATTTAAAAGATTAGTTTCGCCTATTCGTGTTATTCGCGTTATACTTTTCCGTAGCAATGACGAACATTATTTCAATTACTTTTTTCTTTACTAGTAAAGTGCATACTCTTGTAAATTATTGTAGACATTGTAATTAGAAGTAAGGTCAAATGACAATTGATAGTCACTAATTTATATTTAAATTATCGAAATAAGAAATGTTGATGATACCTGTGACTGGCTGATACCATGCAAAGTACTTATGATGATAATTGAATTTAAATTAATGTACATATATCTGTGATGATTAACTTCGTTACAATTGTATAAATTGTTATTATCGTATGCGATTCAATTGTAATTCTATTATATAATCGATAAAAAGGGATGCTCGACATGTTACACTATTATTAAAAATAATAATCCTCCAATTTTATTTGTTACAATATTTGTTACAATATACGTAAACAAAAGGGTAGAAACATATTTGTTTGATGTCTACTAATAAATAAGATAATTTGTTACGGTATCTTATCGACATATGTATCAAATAATCCATTCTCTTACATATAAGAGAATCAAAATTAGTTTTAATCGGCAAATTTTTCATATAATGTTCGAAACAATTCTGAGATATAAAGCGAGATTGCAAGACAAAATTTTATTTTATTTACTTTCACGTGTGATTACTTTCTGGTTTTCAAAGTTTCCGAATTTAATCTTCCAAAAAGCCGAAGACACCAACGCGGCTTCGTTATTGTTGAGTTTCGTTCTATAGAGTGAAGTTTCCCCGATTCTTTACCAATTCTTTTTCCAGAGATCAACGGAACAACTGACTCATTGCAGTACGGTGACGTTGGAGGAGATCCTGGACAATACGGACAGAATAACAACACGAACCGTCTCTGAGAAGATCATGAGTATCTGTAAAAATACCATACATTGGGTGTTCCTCTTGGACGTGTTGCTCGCTCTATCAGGTACGAATATGTTTCTGTTCTTTCCCTCCTAATAATTACATTCGAAGATTAAACATCTTCCGAAGATTAAACATCTGAAAGTAATGAACAAAGAGGACGTGACAAAGCTTTCACCTTCAAGCATATACATTTATATATATATTTGATATATATTTGTTGTAAATTGTAATATTGTCCTAATATATTTATCAGGTACATTCTAATATATGTTGCCCTCTTTAAATTTCTGATATTACTTCAAATATGTTAGATTATCGGTATTCTAGCACGGACTGAACAATCCAAAGATCAATATAAACTTTGTACTGCTTAATCTTTGTATTGCTTAATCTTGCATATTTTTGCAATGAAATTGTGAAATATGCTTCTTTTCTTCTTCATTTGATCGTCACATTCATCGTACAATCAACTCCATTTTTACCAGAGAATTTGCATTTGCATTGATTAATTTCGCGTGCGTTTACAATGAAATCACTCGCTTGTTAATTAATTACGCCAAAGTGCATATTGTTCACTCTCTTTTACACGGCTGTGAATGATAAATGAGAAATTACTCATTTTACTGCATTTCCACGTTTCTTTCCATTTTTTTCATCAAAAATTTGTACACCTACCTAGTGTCCCAGTTCGCATTTAACATATCAAATAGATCACCTAACTAAACGTATAACTAGGAACGAATCGTGCATGCAATGAGAGTTGGCTGGAAAACCACGAACCATGTAACACAATACTGTATGAGTCGACCGTCTGCTTAGAATTTTTCCGGGCGTGCCGGCATTAAATAACTTGATGCGGTGAAACGTCAATGAACTGTGTTGTTGTAATAAAATAAATTGCATTACTGTAAAAAAAAAAAGGAAAAAAGAGAGAAATATGTAAAATTCTACTAATTAGGATACATTTTGTTTTAATCCTTAAATGGCAACGGCCTCAACAGTCCTAACGTTTAAATTGATGACTGTATTATCTGGTTGGTGCAATTATTTGAAAATTTGTTTCCAATGTTAGAGAGGAAAATTTGTTCCGATTTACCAATTCGGTATGAATTAAACATGAGTTCCGCATTGGAATTAAAAGTCTATTTAAGTCTATTTAACAAGTCTAAAATGTACCAAAATTGAGCAGAAGGGAAGTGTCGTTTATTATTGAATATGATTAATTAGATTTGTTACAAAGGATGACTGAACAGCAGTAAAATTGAACAGAGGGGAACAAAAGATTTTATCATTTTCCAAATGATTGAACTAGGCTTGTTATAAAGATTGTAGATAAAAACATATGCTAAATAATATTTTAATCAATGATATTTTAACATAGATCCGGTCAACTGATTATTTCGATTGTCGAGATTTTGGGATTCCTATTATGTAATATGTCTGGAAATGTCTTGAAGTTTCTGGCCAACACACTAATAGATAACGTTAAAGTTCTCCGACAGCGCATGTCGAACAATAGCTGACGGTTTGAATGGGCGAAGAGAGATAAGACATTTAGATCGATTTCTATTTATGCAGAAGCATCTATTTTAAATGCTTTCTGTAAAGGCAGACAAACAAACTAGCATAATAAAAGAACAGCTAACTCAGCTATAAGATCAATTCTGATACACGTACACACGTTTGTATGATTTTGGTACATTGAATTTATTTGTTACAATTTCCATAGATTTTGGAATGCACTATATATATATATATATATATATATATTAATAGATTATTATGGACAAACATGCATAATGAAAAATGGATAACTGTTGAAATCTCCTTTGCCTTCTAAAATTGTCACTTTTTTAAGACAGTTAAGACAATTAGATTTAGAAATTAAATTTTAATCAAAAATTTCTTCGAAATTGATTAAATTAGATTAGATTCAGATTAGATTAAATTATATTTAGATTTTATTTTTAGATCGAAGCTTTTTTTTTTTTGGAGTGGCAAAATTACCCGTTTATAGTAACAGTTATTCACGGAAATACTCAAAGTCTACATTTGCAAATCTGAAACTATGAATAATAAACACGAACAATGATTTACAAGAATAAATATAATCGTGAGTAATTGGTAAATGGAATACATACATAAAGAAATACATATGCATGAATTCATTACTGTTACAAAAGTGTTTAGTCTGATAAACCATTTTTAACTATGTTAATTTATGTTAATCTATATATATATTACTATTAATGAGACGGTTTTTTTTATCGTAACCGTTATGTTGAAATTATATATGTATTTTTTTTCATATTATTTCGTAATTTTTGAATCTTCTTCCGAATTTGTAAATCTTCTCCATAAATGTTATCTATCTATCTCCTGTTTCTGAACGAAATTTTAAAAGTATAATAAGTCAAATTTATTTTTATGTTATATTATACTTCCGATTTACATTGTATTATACTTCCTTTTCGCTGTCATACGTTCTCATACCACAGTCAACAAACCGCTTCCGCGTTTTATAGTCGGGAATAAATTTTCGTTTTATAATTGCATGTATTTCTCTTTCTCCGTGTATGTATAATGTAAAATCAAGAGCATAAAAGCTCTGAATCGGTTACGATGAAAAACTGTTTCATGTTTTGAACATCTGTTTGATTTTTTACATTTAAAAGGCAAAGTCTTTACTTTAATAGTTCTAAGTTTGTCTTTTTCGAAGATGTTTTTACAGCGGCTGGAATAGTAAGAATTCTCGAAAATTATTAAGATTCAAATGTTTTTAAAAATGTTGAAAAATTTTTTTCTGACCGAGATCTATCAATGGTTTTGAACTACTCCTTGAAACTTAGTGTACGATTTTCTTTTTTTTTTTACCATTTTATTGGACGTTGAACATTAGAGTTAAACAACAAAGATTCAAAAAATTCACTTGAATACGTAATGTTTACATCAGAATAATTTCATGAGCAATTTTTAATAATATTTAATATTAAATTTAACGTATATATTTAACAATATTGCATATATACATAATACATACACATTGTGTATAGTATAATTTTATGTACAGTATTGTGTACATCTTAACACGTACGCATATATATATATATACAGGAAGTTAAAAATATAAATATATATATATATATATATACAAAAATATAAAAATATATATATATACAGGAAGTTAAAAAAATGGCGTAAATATGTTGAGAGTAGATAATTATCTCGTCAAATAGAAGAAAAAAAATTTAAACGAACGCAAGTCGGAAAATTCATATTTTCAAAAGTTTGGCAATTCAAACGTTTTGTTCAATCATGTGTTCATATTAGCAGAAGAAAAAGTGCTTGTTCATCGAAATGTACGATGCAATCGCGGGAGTTATACGCATGCGTCCAAGCTGAATATTTAACTATTGCCACACGTAGCAAACGGACAGTACCGCCAGTGACACCTCAGCTGGTATTTGAAGCAAGGGTGTTCTTTGCTCTTCCCCTCATTTTCCTTCTCTTTCCTTTTTAATCTTTTTCTTTTTTCGTTCGTTCTTTCTTATCGTCTCATTTAGTTTCGTTTCGTTTCCTTCATTCCTTCTTTGTATTGTCATTCTTATCTCACTGACTCTGTTGCGTTGATTGCTTGTGATCACGTGTCAGCTCTATATACTATGGGCAAATTTGATGAAAAATATAGAAAAGTCCCACGGTGGAAAGATTCTAAGTTGATAACTTCACGATACATGTACAGCTTTTGTAAGTACCTGGAATAGTTAACAGAGCACATTGCGTACACGTGCAAGTATTTAACGAGTATGCGGAAAATTGACTGATATTTGACATAGATATTTTTACGTAATGATTCACTATTCTCATCTACGATTGTGAAACACGAGAATATGTTTGTTTTGATGATTTGACGAGAATTGATAATTGTTAGTTGTGCGACTCAAATTTTAAATAAATTTAGAATAATTGTAAGTTGTAAGTAAATTTAAAATATAACATAGAAGTTTAAATTTTTAGTTTAAATAAATTTAAAATGAAAATGAAAGAATCGATAAATTTTTCTTTATGTCTTGTAATGAGAAAATTTGACTTGTGACGTAAAAATTAAATATTTATAAAACTGCCGAGTTGTTGCAAACATGTTAACTATCATTACATCGTTAATTAATTATATTTATATAATATATAAAAACTTGTTCTAATGTAGTATTATTTTTTGTAATATATTCAGTTTGATATAAAATCGCTTTATTATTAAAAACGTGATTATTTGCAGTGAAATCAATTTTACCTACCTAGAAACGAGTACTTGCTTCAAATAAAATAAAAATAAATATCTTTAATATTCAAGTAATTTATCAATTTTTAAAATGCATGTAGTTATTTTATTTCCTGAAACTGAAATAAAGTATATTTCATATCAGTCATACGATATCTCTTATCACTGTCTCATATGTTTTTATGTGATCTGTTCAATTTATAGTCAGAGTAAAACTAAGATCTTTGTATACAAAAAGTAATGTTTCTAATATTCGTTATTTACATTTGTTTTAAATTCGAGTTGCAAAAGTTAAGAAATCAATAGTAAATTAATGAAATTTTATATGTTGGTTTTATTAATAAGATAAATAAATAAAGAATAATAACAATAAGTAAATAAAAACATTCATATATCAACAATATTCAACAGTTATTCTAAATAAAGTATCAAATTTTAAATAAATTATTAAGACAATTTGATTAAAAACAAATAATGTTTGAATATTATCTTACCTATTATAAATATATATATAGTTTTATTAACAAAATGCTTTTATAGAAAATAATTAAAATAAATTTTTTACACAGAGATATAATATAAAATTTTTTGTAATGTTTTATGCACAAAATATGATAATAAATATTTTTTATCAGTCTCTTTGTTGTCTGAAGTTGTAGTCTCTAATTTTTAATCTTATTGTTGTATGTTTCAGTTATCATACTACTGGCAATATTGGAATTTGCGACAATTCCGCAACAGTATATCGGCTTTTATTGCAATGATCCGAAAATTTCATTCAAATTCATGGGAGATACGATCTCTATCACACTTTTGATCGGTGGATCTTTTCTAATACCGATACTAGTGGTATGTATAATTACAATAGTGTTCAATAATAATCGCTCAATACACAATATATGTAGAATTTGTAAAAATGTAATTTTAATGAAAATTTAAATTGATAAACAATTTTATTTTGAATATACAATATTTTAAATAAACATCATCTAATTAAATAAAAAATAATTCTTTTTAGTGCATATTAACAAAGCGTTACATGTGCATATCTTTATGTAAATTTTACTTACATACGTTTCTATATAATACTATTCTATTTGTAATTAATTATTACTTTCTCTATAATTTTTTAACTTTGTAACATTTCGCTTATTTTTTTTTTTTTAGATATGGCTATCCGAATTCGCATCTTACTCTGCAGATAGCTATGATGCAGAAATAGGATGCGCTGGTTCGAGAGCAAAACAAATATGGTTGTGGTATGGTCATTATTCAATCGGATTAATTGGCTTAACTTTTATATGTAATGTCATAAAAACTCTGGTCGGCGAACCAAGACCACATTTTTTAGACACGTGTAAGCCACGAGAAGCTGTAAATTGTACGAATGAGTAAGCATTTTTCTTTATTGCACATCACGACTAATCGCAATCTTTGATCATGATTTCTCGTTTAATATAATATAGTTTTGCATTTCATTTCAGATACGTGGCAAAATATACATGTACAAATACAAAAAATTCAGAGTGGTTTGTCTCAGATTCTAGTAGATCATTTCCATCTGGCCATTCTGCTCTTTCCATGTTTACAACTACTTTTCTTGTGGTACGTATATTTATACAATAATATTATGTGCACCTATCTCCTTTTTCATATCTTTAAGTATATTTTTCTGTCGCAGTGGTACTTACAACGTCGTTTACCAGATCGGACGTTTCTTCTAAAACCATGGTTACAATGTATAATATCCATGTGGACTGTGATATGCTCATTAACGAGGATCGGCGACAATAGACATCATTGGTGGGATGTACTTGCAGGCGTTATTTTGGGTTTCGCTTTTAGCATGTTAACTGTTAAAGTGTTATGTCGTAAGTTTCATTTAAATCGAAACGTCTCAAACATGTATAGTGATCCTGTAGAAAATAGGCAAATTAATTTCAATAAGAGAAAACAAAATGTCAAGAAACTTCTACACGAGACAACAGTTGACTCTTCGGAAAGTCGTGAGTTAAAGAACGTTAAGTCATCAACTTGGTCAGAATAAGAATAAGATATTTGATAAGGAAATGTTTAAAGAGAAATTATGAATGTTTTTTCAAGTTCCAAATTTCTAGCGAGATTTAACATCTTGTGCGCAGTACATTTAGAAATACTTGAATACTTTAAATTATTGTAATAAAAATAAGGAGAATTATTCTTGTAACATTTTCTTAATATAAAAGGGGCCAATAATTTATTCCTAATAATCGTTTATATCTGACGCGCACATTTCAGAATGCTTTAAAAATAGTAACGGTATCTAGAAAATATAAAATGGTATAGAATAAAAATCGAAATTTTTTAAATCTTTGACACCTTTGGAATCTTTACAATAATTGTTGCCAATTTCTGCAGAATTTGAAAGCAGAAAAATTGGTGATGAATAACCATTTTTAATAACATTCCAAAGCTTGTATTCATATCTTTTTTTTTATTAAAACTTACATGGTATGGTAATCATAGTGATTTATAACATGTATTTTAGAAATACATTAGAAATATCAAAATCATGATGCTCTGCTGGTTAGTAAAAATTTGTAACATTAAATTAAAAAAGCAAATTTAAATATCTCTTAAGTGTAAATTTTATATTAATATAGGTGTAATTAAAAAGTATTTTTTAAACGTAGACAAAAAGTATGCTCCATAATATTTAATGCTCAAAAGTTCTGGTCAAACTCATTTTTTACAATATCTAAAAAGACAAAAAAATTCTTGGATTGATAAAAAACATAAAAAGAGAAGTGTCGTATTTTTTATATTTTTCTTATAAATATACATATATAAAAGATAAATGTATAAATTATATATCTAATATATAATAATATTTCAAGAGTATTTCACAATTTTTGTATAATTCATTAAGGACCAAGCAATAAGTTATCACAATACTATAAATACTTCAGATTCTTTAAATTCCATAAAATTATAGAATCTAAGAGTGAAAGATACAATAATAAAAAAATATTAAGTGAATCTTTAAAATTTCTTTTATATCTCCAGTTATAAATGAAATTATAAATGAAATATTTGTCAATGCAAGATTGGATTCAATGGACAATACACATAGATACTAACGAAATTGAGTTGACATTAACTTAAATATTATGAAAAATTTGTTTCAATTAATTAATTTTATTAAAAACAATTTAAACAACATCTTCATCACTGTTACTATAACATTACATAGTTATAGTAACTTTGTAAATTGGAATTTTGTAATAGTACACTATTCCATGTTTTTTGAGGAAATTGTATGCCTTTTTATAAATACTATAATCATCAACATCTACAAAATATTCATAAATATTTATAAATGTATTCAATAAATATATGTATGCAAGTGTGATCAGCATTAATAATTCCGTCCAGTGATATTAAATTATGAACTGTGATTAAAGAAAAGCGAAATTTGTATTATGATAAAATATCCGTGTTAGAATTTTCTTTTACAATAATCAAATGTCTACTCAATTTTGTATGGAATGCAATTCATCATGTATATATATTATACATTATATTTAATTTACAAAAAATGAAATATACACACAAAATTGTAACAAATAAATTTTAAATTATTAGACAATTTGTTATTAAATTTTTAAAGAAATTTGTTTAACTATATTTCATTTATTGTTACTTACTAGCAGAGTTCTTTGATCAAATATTTTTTTTTTTTAATATTAAAATAATATTCTATCTTCACAAGGAAGTATCCCTAAGAATTTTCGTGTGTTTATTATTTTATTCCTGCAACCTTATGTGTCGAAAAAGAAAATTATTATTACACAAGTTTTTGAGTATATTTCATTTATTTTAATTGTATACTTTTTCTGTGTGTGTGTGTGTATATATATATATATAGGTGCCTATATATAAAATTATGCGTGTATACATATCTAAAGTTGCATATAAGTAATTTATTTTAGTTGTATTATATTAAATTAAAACTCTGTTCGTACAAAGTAAATATATTCCAGTCACAATTAAGTTAATAGTATTTTTGCTCATAAAAATAGCCAATTTTACGAATGATAATTTATGATTAGTTATGTATTAGATTTCTATGTATCATTCCAACATTCCACTTATGACTTAGTTATAAAACTTATATATTTAGTATTATTATATTTAGATGTTTAGTATAGAATTATATTTTTTAAACTTTAGGATGAAATACATAGTTATAAAAACAATGCAAGAAAACACTTTATGGAATTGTTTCAAAAATATTAAAACTTATACTGTACTTTATTTAAATAAATTTATATTGATAACACAGAAAAATAGCAACGCGAAACAATTACTTCCAGAAAAAGAAAATTTATTGTTATGTATATCGTTTATTCTGGTCCAAATTTTTTATAATATGAGGATTATACAAATTATATTATTGTATAGTGATATTGACATGAAATTTCTCAGTCAAAATGTTTTTCAGTATTTTTTAATACTATCATATATAAGTTTTGTACGTATTTTTATCTATACCGTACATTGTCGAATATATTCAAATTTATATCAGGCTTTAACATTAATTATTGTATATCGATTGAAACGAACATTTTGTACGTGGAATAAACATAACAGTGACAGAAATAAATTAATGACAATAATTGAAAGAATTGTTATTTACTTTGTTATTTTGTGAATAACATTTTTCTGCAATCCGTATTCTAGTTAGTGTTACAAATTGTAAATGCTAATAAATGATGTATTGAGGAAAAACAATTTATCATGAAAGATATTGCAATATAAAGATATTTTAATTAAACTTGTACGTATATATGCGTTGCGACATATATGCTCTTCCATATTGATTTCTATTTAATTAATATTATATTCTGCAAATATAACATTTCTATCAATGTATAAGAGAAACAAACAAATTACTTATTAAATGTATTATTTTTAAATAATAATATACATACGTAAAGAAAAAATGCCGTAAGAAAAAAGTATATTTTTATTTTAATTTATGTAATAATAATAAATAATTAACATGTAAGCAGCTGCTGATAAATGTCTATTTTTTTTTGTATTTAAATAAAAACCTATATTTTGTATTAAATTGTATTTCCAATTTATTTTCTGAAAATTTTCAAGTAATTATTCTATATCTATATCTATAATTCTTCTCCCTTTTATTACTCTTTCTAATGTTTCTGATTTCGGTAACTTTAGTTTTAGAGCTAGTTTCCAAAAATATAACAATTAATTTCCATCCATGAATTAACTATTTCTTTGTGCGGATGCGCTGTAATTTTTTTTTTTTTTTTTACTGAATATCTTTAATTTGCAACGACTTCTAATAAAGAAGAAAAAATGCAAACTAATATTTTTGTAAGCAAAGTTTCGTACATCTACGTTCTATAATCACATTTTTCTAAATTTGTCGGTTATATAATTTAAATAATAAGATTATCCAGTACAGGGTAGTCAAATTCGATAATAAATAATCTTGACACACATATGTTAGGGGACATCTTCAAAAGATTTTAGATGTCACTTCATTCGATCTTGAGTATGGAAAATTGAAAAATGTTTAGGAATAAATGCAAATAATGAAATGTAACAGAGCGATTAATGAGGAGATCATTTAACAAGGGTTCAAAATGATGATATAATTTCAATATAGTATGTACGTATTTCTATAGATTTAAAGAGATTTTATAGAGAATGAACAACTAACGTAGTTACTCATAAACCTACTTTTATCAACCATGAACAGCAGACTACACGCTCGAGTACTTATTAGATGTTCAATAATATGATTACGCGCCATAAACAAGAGATGCAATCTATGACAAATATGTTTACTGTTTACACTCGTTTACAAAGTATAACTAAGTTACGTTCGTGTCGCATGTTAATGAAAAATTTAATTGGAAACTGATTTTTTAAACAAGCTATTAACAAAGAGTTAATATTACTTAATATTAGAACACGTTTCGACATCGTTACCGAAAACATCAGATCTATAGATCACGAGAAAAAAACCTGAAAAGCGATTCCAATTTTTGCTAGAGGAAAACATATTTGGCAATTGGCAACGCTCGGATCGCCAAATTAATTAAAACCGAGAAAGAAGATTCGACGTTCAATAAGTAAATTTGCCTGATTAATTAATTAATGATAATTCAATCCCGATTCATTAACGATAACTCGGATGGAAAATAAACGGGCTCGTTCGGGGTGGAACGATTAGAACGCAAGTGAAACTAGGTTTCCCGGGTATAACGGGAATTAATCGGGTTGGTATAGGTGTCGATGTAAACACGTGGCTTTATCGTTCGTTTTAAAACTTTCTCTTTCGCTGGTTGTTCTTCTTTTTGTTCGCGCGTAAACGGACGGATGCGTCGAAAACGAGCGATTTAATTTAGTAGCCAGGCAGTCGTACACAACACGATGGTTGAAGCATTTTTTCGTCAAAGGTTCGCATTCGCGCGCGCCACGTTCCGTACCCGTGGCGTTTTTCTCTTCTCTTTTGCCAACGAAACAATTGGTCAGGGGTAAATGCGAGAAGCGGCGCGCATGCACACATACACATACACATACACAAACACACACTCGACACTGGCATATCGCAGACACAGATGTAGAACACGAACAGCGCGGTAGGGGGGACGGAGTGGTGAGATTGCCGCGGAGCGCGGTGCAGCAGTAGCAGCAGCAGCACGGAGTTGGATGAGAGAGATGAAGTGGTAGATTAACGTCAACCGACGTAGCCCATTCATAACTGGCCTCTCTTCTGGCCGTGCGCGCCCCCGAACCGCCTATGTATACGCAAACCTCCTCTATACGGCGATTTATAGAATTGGAAAAGCGATATCGGAAAAATAGTAAACTTTATTGATGAATCCCTTCCCGACCTTTAAGCGATATCGCAGCGATCGAGTCGACCGCATTCCCCTACTACCCTGGCATCGTGCTACAGGTGGCATGTAAGCCAATCCATGTTGCTCTCCACTCTTTTTATCGCTCCTCTCTCTCTCTCTCTCTCTCTCTCTCCCTTCTCTCTTTCTCTTTCTATCATACACTTAAAATACGGTTAAATTAAAATTCTTCCGAGCTGCCATCGCTGTTGATTATTTCGTTGATTTAAACGCGAACGACAACTACAATTTTCATCCTTCTTCCCTTTCATACTACGATCGAGCGTGTTCCTTTCTTTTAAACGACTCGCTCGTAAAAATTTACGGATTCTCTGTTACGAATCGGTGCATGCATCGTTCTTAAAATTTTTCAGATTTCTATTCGACGAAATAGAAAGCGAACAAAAAGAATTCATTACTAAAATAACGAAATTCATTTACATTTCAAGTTACTTTTGATTTTAAGTTCTGAAACTGATTGCTCTCTGTATCATATGTGCGTAGATGTAAGGCGAGTTACGCAATTGGGGGCAAGTCGTGTCTAATTTTTTTTTTTCAGTTAAGAACAGAAGAAAATATTAAAATAGAGATTTTTGAATAAAAATATACATCTCTCTTTACATAGATCGAATCGTTTTCTCGTTCTACAAAAAAAAAAAGAAAGTAATGAGGTAACATGGTTGTAATGAGTAATGGTTGATTGATGAAATTAATTGAAGATATTTTAATTTCCAATTTCATTACGTGTATTCTGCGAAGTTCTAGGAAATTAGAGATAAAATATCTTTAGTACCAAAATTATTTGAAAAAAAAGTCGACGAACGTTATTCAAACAAATATATACGAGTGGAATTACGTCGATTCGTGTCTCTGGGCCGATATCATATTTCAATGTCAAATAATACAATTTCGTTTAAATTAGACTCTCTCAAAAGAAGAATAAATACAATCAAACGTTAATAAGAGACATTACAAGTTATATGTATAATGCATAATAATCAAACAATCAGTTACGTCAAATGGCTAAAATAACCGATCACGTACTGCAAAGTATGAAGATTGAAAATCATCTGAACGATCTTCGAAGAATCCTCGAGCAATTTGAACATGCTACACGCATGACAAAAACGAAGCAAACATATGACGTTACATCGTGCAGCGTGTCGGAAAGATTGCGTGGGAAAAGAGAAATTAGACGAAATGAAAATTAAAACAGAAATTCGAAGTGAGGACGAGAGTGGGAGTGGAGAGTAGGAGTGACCATCGGACAGGGAGTAGAAAGGAAAGAGGCGCGCAGTATCGAAGATATCGGCGCACGGGACACTGTAGCTTTGCAGACTTTAATATCGTGGCATTCCCTTTATACCAACGAACGAAGCACAACGTGAGATCCACTTTAATCCTAATATACCATACGTACAATGCGCCGGCAAAATAATGGCACGGCTCGCGACGTCGAGGCGATCGGCAACTGGCGTGGATCGCGTGAATCCATGGCCGATCGACGCCACCGTCATCGACCAGTTTCGCCCGATTTTCTGACTGTCGAAAATTTCGGACAAGTCACGTTAGATGGCGTTACTAGTTGCGTGGAACGCAACTCCGCCGACAAAATATTTTCCGTTCGCGATGTTTGTTCGGATCGTAGGGAAATTCTTGTCGCGGTGCACGCGGGACAGCGTCCGATCACGCGTTAACGATCGATGGAAAAATAAAAATTTTTCTCTGAATCGACAAGTTCCGCGGCGAGCGTGCCGGTGACGTTGAGAGTAGCCGCGATAATATCGGCGGCGTAATTCTAGAAAATATTTCAGGAGGCTAATGAGTCAGTAATTTTGCAGGCTGTCCGGGTATAGGCAAGGGAGAACGTACGCCAAGACCAGAAGGACGTCCTGTGACGCATTCAATTGAAAATCTCAAGGCACCCTCGTGCACCGTTGGAAGATAATATATAGGGTTACATTACGTGCAAAATCGATCAGTTATTTTAGCTGGGAATAAAATTTCTAATGAAACAGCCAGCGAGCAATTTTTTACTCGTAGATAATAACTACTATAATATATACTTCGTCGCAGATTCTTCAGGTGGTACACAATATGTAAAATGTATATACTTACGCTTGTAATATGTACGAATATCCGTGACAGAATGGAACATTCGTTTTCGATGGGTATCTTCATTTCATACTTATATTTTACTCATTTGCTAGATACAACGAACAAATGGAAATTGATGAAACCTTAAGAGAAATAATTAATAATTATTTGTCGCTATGCGAGCGCGTATAATCGAAAATATGGCATGATTCGAGAGGAGTCGCGAAACGTTGGCAAATGGGATTCTATTTAATTCATTGTGATTGTTACGTGAACTATTAAAGCTCTGCACATGCTGCTGAATATAATTAATGTACGATATCTTTAATAAATTGGAAATTAATAACAAAACAGACAGAACGGAGAGGTCAGGACCAACGCAAACTTAAAGAAAAATGAAATCCACAGATAAGTCTAAATAATAATGCAATTTGCTCTCTGAAGAAGAAAAAAAAAAAGAAGTTACGTCTCGTCGTGAAGTCATAATTATACGAATTCCGAGAAATTCAATTCAGAATGTTTATTCACGTCTATTGGATCCACGATAGGAATGATTGTATATTTAATGTAATTGATTTAATCAGCGATTTAAAAGTCATCGTTGCAAATTTTAGAAAAATTACTATATTATTGTTTTAATCATATAGTTATAATACAAAATTATTATGATTTTAAATGCGGTTTTTAAATAATTCTTTAATCGATGTACAAATTAATTACCATAACTGTTATTTATATATGTATAATTATTGCGATTACGCACATTTGAGCGTAACATTTACCGTTTAATTTAATTTAATTTCTAATTAATGACCTTAATACTTTCGTAACAGAGAAAAGTAAGACTGTCAGAACTGTGTGTTTAAATGAAAACTTCTTGAATTCTTCTTCGATCACTATCTTGAGCTTTATCGACGAAAACATATACAGTTTGAAAATGTTGTTTGTTCTATTAAAAGTACACTTGAATCCTACGTAAATGACATGAATATGTATGTATACGTAAAACGAAAAGAGTATTCTTGGAATTGAAACTTACATACACGATTTGCATGATGTGACATCATTACGATCGTTTTATGCGTAAAGTTATCAACATTTTTTTGCCTACGAAATAAACGACGCCTTAACATTGAAGTCTGGAAATCGGAGATTCTTCTCGAGACGAAAACGTTAGTCTGATTTTTGACTTCCTAAATTAAAACAACATACACGTCTTTCCCTCTAAACTTCTCTGAAAGACATTGCTTTGGATTTTAGATGGTTTATTAACTTCTCGTTAGTTTTTGTTAATTAAGAACATTGGACGAGAGCAGATCAGAGTGCCGTGTAATACAGGAGCGAATCAGACAGAGCGAATGGCACAAGTCTACTAGCTTTCCTACTTTCCTCACCGTTTCCGATCATACGTTCTGTCTAACAGAAAGAAGCGGAATGAAAGAACACAAAAAGAAGAGTCAGAGAGAGACAGATAGAGACAGAGACAGAGACAGACGGAGAGGGAGAGGGAGAACGAGCAAACGAACGAACGAGAACGAAAGAGAAAAGGAAGAAGGAAAGAAAGGAAGTCTCCGAGGCTCGGCGGGGCACTTTCACCTGCTGTGGTGCCCTTAAGGGCACAAAAATACGCGAGAGGGCCGGGGCGAAGTTTACGCAGACGCTCGTTACACTTGCTCAAACGGTGGAAGTTGCAAGTGCAACTTGCTCCGACGAGCGTACACCACCGTTGATTCCCCTTAATTTGACAATATCTGCTTTAACGGAAAGGCGGTTGATACATTCCCTTTAATATATACAACATAAAAAGTTTCACGACGAATAAAGCGACCGGGAGTGGGAGAATGGAAGCGAGTGAGTGAGTGTGCGAGCGAAGGTGCGCGCGCGAGCGAGCAAGCGAGAGGGCCCACGAGCGAAAGAGGTGGATGACGAGCGTGCGTAGGGTGAGTCACGGGGAGGGGAGGAACACGAGGAGGCAGAGGAGGAGGAGGAGGAGGAGGAGGAGTTGCCGAGCGGCAGGGAACAAGCGGGGAGTAAAGAGGAGTTGTGGGTGGGGTGTGAGTTAGGGGCGCGCGCGCAAGAGACAGAGAAAGAGAGAGAGCGAGAAGGAAAAAGAGAGGAAGTAGCAGCGTCGACGGGGAAGGCGAGAGGAACGTAAGAGACGGCAGAGGAGGTCTCGTTCAGGAGAGAGACGACAAATACGCTCGGGAATGTATTGACCGACGGTCGAACGTTGCTCGATTTTTGATAAATTCGCCGGTCGTCGATCGCCGCGAACTGGCCGATCTTCGCGAACGGCAAACCCGACCAAGCGAAACTTGAGATACCGAACGATCGTCGGTCGCTCGCCGATGGTAGAAAACGCGAGTTTTTCGTTAACGGATCGGTCAATAGTTTCGCGTCGGTCCCGTTGGAAGGACGAAGAGAGGAGCGGCGGCACGAGCGAAAGCCGCGAACGACGAGAGAGAGAAAGACAGCTACGAGACTGGGTGAACGAGAGAGTGAGGGCAAAAGGGTAGGAGAGAAAAAGAGAGAACGAGAGAGAGAGAGAGAAAGAGAGAACGCACGCAAGAGTGAGTGAGTGAGTGAGTGAGTGAGTGAGTGAGTGAGAGAGAGACTCGGAGAGACGAAGAGGAAGGTAGCCGAACGGGCAGAGACGATGGCTCTGAGCTACCGGCCGCTTTCCTATTGTCCATGGATCCCATCGAATAAATAGTTCCCCGAATTTGCAGACACCGTGAAAAAAAAAGTTTTCTCTCTGGTTCGACGATTCTCGCCGTGTGGAACATTTCCAGAGAGAAATTTGATTTTTCCAAGTCGCGGCGGATATTGTGGAAAAATACGGGAACGTTCGCCGGCGGTCAATTCCTTGCCGTCCCGTCGGGGTCTCGTTTATTTTTGCATTTTAAGGCATTGAAGAAAAGAAAATGTTAAAAAATAGGAAAAAGCGAGCGCTCTCGGGCGCAGGGTGAGAGAGAGCCGAAGAGAGGGCGGCTTGAGGGAAGAGCCAGGGAGTGGGAAAGATGTGCACAAAAACGTACTGACGAACGTACAATGAAGCAAAAAGAGAGGTATCTAACCTACCAACGCGAAGTAGAAGTCCGTAGGCCCGGGGAAAAAAAAAGAGTTGCGCCAGGGCTGGATCGGGGCGCTAGCTCAACCGAACTAAAGCAGAAAGAAGACGAGCGAGCCTTCGCGCCGGCGGAATTCTTTAAAATACTCTTATATAACCCACCTGTACGTTGGCCGCCCGCCACTGCACAACAGAACGTCTAACGTTCGTCCGAACAATTCTGCGTTTGCCTCGCCAATTCGACTTTGTTCCTCTTCAAAAACACGATTTTACCTCGCGTAACAGCCTCGCAACACTTGCACAACAATTATATTCGCACGCGCGCGCGCACGTTTCTCTTCATCGAAACACGTAGATACTACTCCCGTGAGAAAAAGAATCTTCGAATTCTTAGAATCGTTTGATGGGTTTCCAAGTTTCGTACGAGTATCGTGTATAAAAATCCATCAAACGATTCTGAGAATTCGAAGATTCTTTTTCTTACAGGAATATAATATAGATATATATTATATTATATTAACCTCTTACGCTGGAATGACGTGTCACGCACGTCGAGAACATTTGGCACAAAATTGCAATATTTTCTCAGTTTTAGGTATATTGAAATAGAACCTAGGCAAAACAAATAATAAATTTATTGCTTCTTGGTCATTTCTATCCAATGATATGCCGATGAATTCAAAAAGAAGACGAGTTATTGTATACGGTCACTCGTTATGGTCCGCAATCAGTTGCCAGCGCAACGTGGTTAACCTCTTGCGCTGGAATGACGTGTCACGCACGTCGAGAATATTTGGCCCAAAATTGCAATATTTTCTCAGTTTTAAGTATATTGAAATACAACCCAGGCAAAGCGAATAATAAATTTATTACTTCTCAGTAATTTCTATCCAGTGATGTACCGATGAATTAAAAAAAAAAAGAATTTATACGGTTTGGTCACTCGTTATGGTCCGTCAACCAGTTACATACTAGCGCAAGTGATTAAGCAGGAATTGAAGGAACATGAGCGTCTTTCTCTTCTTCAAATTATTTTCAAAGATATACTATTTCTAGGTTTTGCATCTTCTTTGAAACGAATGTACAATAAATATTGGTATCAACAATATCTTTGACAATTAAAGTCGAAGCAGTATACTTTGATCAGATTGAAATCACCGTATTATTGCATCATTGTTATTGCATTCCCCGTATATCAACATACAGTAACTCGCGCTATATTGAAATGTGTTTCTGTTGTATCCCGCGAAATTGTTTCCTCCTCGTTTCTGCAACTTCATTAAACACAAGAGGCCGTGCTCTTTTTTTCGCGCAACATCTGTAATGCTACACCACGCGGTTTTCATTATGTAGCAACAATCTTTCAAATACCACTTCTCCAGCAAGTTTATTACATCCCCATTTTAATTTTCAGAGGCGGAACAAATTTTCGAGGCAGACTTTTCCTAAAAACACACTCGATAACCTAATACTATTTTCTACTTGTTGGTTGGATTATAGACGTGAAAAGTGAAATTAAACCGTAAATCGATTCTCTCTTACTGCGTGTATAATGCATGGTATTTATATTTCGATACGTTTTTGTTAATTTTGTGATTCTTGTCGGTGAGAAATTACAAAATTTTGACCGGAGAATCAGAATCGAGAAAGAGCCCTACCGCCAAAACGTTGATACGTTATCTGTCTTTCTTTTTTTTATCACATACAAGTCATATTAACTCAAATTAGATTAGATCCTTTTATGTTAACTATTGTAACTAACTATAAATTATACTATAGTATAATCAACTTAATACATGTACTTAATATACGTAACTAACTACAAATAACTATTCCAAGATCTTGGCCATGATGCAATGGAGGCATTCCGAAATATATACATATCTGACATTTCTCTTTTTCTGACGAGAGAATCCGGATTTTGTTCGTTCGAGTAACTTTCGATTGCACGTTTCTGTTTCCCAATTAATTCTAGATCATTAGCCCATTAGTCCAGATCATTAATTCTAGGTATTTTAATGTCATCACATTTTTTTATGGCCTTTTACGTCCAATTTCCAAACCATGATGACCATTTTGTTTCGGTTCAACAATTAAAACAGTGTTTGCTCTTGGATTTCATTATACGCAACATTTCTAACGCTTGCTACAGTATCAGCTTTGTAATAGAAGATAAAGTTCACTGTAGGAACTATATTTGTATTCGATAGCAAAGTACACGAGCAAGAAAATATGCAGTTCGGCTAATAGAATGTTTAAAACATTCAGGTAGTAGCAAACATATATATATAATATAAATAATATAATATATATATGTAGATAATATAAATTATAATATATAATATTATTATATAAATTTTATATAATATAAATAATATAATATATATATATATATAGATAATTAAATTATATTATAATATAATTATATAAATTATATATATATATATATATATATATATATATATATATATATAAGCATGGTATCATAGTTTAAATGTACATACGTATCAACTTAAACCAGCAGAACGTGTAATTTATGTTAAGAGTACTTACGTTAATGAATATTGCGAATGTATCACAATTGCGTTCACTTTTATATAAGGGGAGGGGGGCTAATTTCTACTCGCAAAATGAACAATGGAAAATGTAATTCTAATTATGAAATAAGCTTATTAACATTCGCGCGCGAAAGTAATTTAAATTGAGTGTCGCTCCTTCCCATTTTATTTCTTTCTAACTGTAATCTATGCGTGCGTTACAAGAATCTCGCAGCAATCGTGCAATAGAACCTGACGATTTGCTAAAGTGTTTGTCGCTTTTGCCAAAGAGACGCGTAAAAGACACAGAAGCTCATTTGAATTGAATTGAATATTTAGCGTACGTAGAGAATATTTTTAATCACGCAATTAGTATTCTAGAATTATATTACAATACGAGCGCGGAGATGAAACTTTGACACTCTGCGTCGTTTCTGATACGTATGTCGCGCAGAAAAAAAATTTGAACTCGAAACTGTCTACCTCTCGCAAGCGATTTGACAGCCACTTATCAAAATTGGACTCCCGGCGGGTTTTAATTTTGCAGACATTCTAATTTTGCACTCTCTTGATGTCGGTCGACCCGCGAAGTTCGCTAAATAATTCAATGCTTTTTATTTTTTTGTATCGCACGCCACTTCCACGCGAGTTCGTTATCTACGTGTAATCCTAAATGAACTCGGAGCTGAATCGTGGTATAGCGTGGTTACACATTATTCCATATTGTTCGCGCGTAGAGATTTCCGTGGCGTGCAAAATGATATGCGCACGTTTTGTGACGTTGACTTTCATTCTGTTGGATGTTGGCCAGCTATCAAACACGTAATACGTAATAAGATAGTTCTGCATAGTTTGCAACTATGGAAATCCTAATGCGTGATCAGAAGGTGAAAATTTAATTAATGTTAATTTCGGTTCGTGATTTAAGCCTACATTCTTCTGTCACACTTCAATCGATGGACCAAAATGCCATCTGCGTCGCGTCTTTCACTTTTTACGTGAATTTTTATCTACACCTGTTTCTTATGCAGTATGTGATTGACACGTATACTGGCCTAGTATGCACGTTGCAATTTGTCGAGTAGTTTCGGTTGCTATACTCCAGGGAACACCGTTTTTAATACCGAGAATGAGAATTGAACGGTGTTGCTCTAATAACTTAAGAATTTGTTCTATTGTACGATGACTCGATACGAAGCGAGGAATCTTCGATTTCTTCGACAATGAATAAATTGTTAAATCAAACGAAGTGCGAGGAAGTACGAGGACCGATCCTCGTGCTCTCTCCTCTCTTTGCAAATTTACACACGCGTGCAATATATGAAATTTGAGTATAAAATTATTATATAAGAACTTAAATATAAAATTAAATAACACGTATGTCTATATGATCTTATTTTATATATTTCACATGTACATGTAAATACGTTTGTACGTTCTGTAACAAAGGATATTTTAAGATTTTGTTTAATTTATGTTCGTTGCAGGATACTCCACGATAAAATTCGCATTAAAGGAAAAACAGACATAAAGGATCTTCTAGGACCTGCGAAATCCCTGGAAGGAACAAAGGTGCTACCTGAAGACCATAAATGTCACTCGGGAAGTAAAGACTCGGAAGTCAATTGGATTTTAAGTAAGTAAATGTATAATTGTGTATTCTTTACAGTCAAATTTTTCAATTATTTCCAATAAAATGGGTCTGTATGTATGTTTTTAAGAAAAACTGACCCGTACACTATATATATATATATATATCTTAAATCGATTACATTTTCATTCAAAAGTGTATCTGTCACTTTTAACCTCTTGCGCTGGAATGACGTGCCACGCACGTCGAGAACTTTTTTCCCAAAATTGTAATATTTTCTCAGTTTTAAATATATTTAAGTAAAACAAAATAATAAATTTATTACTTCTCAATAATTTCTATCCATCGACATTATACCGACGAGTTCAAAAAGAAAGGGACAAATTATTGTATACGGTTCGGTCACTCGTTATGGTCCGCAATCAGTTGCCAGCGCAAGTGATTAACCTCTTGCGCTGGAATGACGTGCCACGCATGTCGAGAATTTTTTGTTCCAAAATTGTAATATTTTCTCAGTTTTAAGAATACCTAAGTAAAACGAAACAGACAGAACAAAATAATAAATTTGTTACTTCTTAATAATTTCTATCCAGTGATGTACACGGTTCGGTCACTCATTATGGTCCGCAATCAGTTGTCAGCGCGAGTGGTTGATTAACCTCGTGTCACGCACGTCGAGAATTTTTTGTTCCAAAATTGTAATATTTTTCTCAGTTTTAAGTATACCTAAGTAAACAGGCAGAACAAAATAATAAATTTGTTACTTCTCAATGATTTCTATCCAGTGATGTATACGGTTCTGTCACTCGTTATGGTCCACAATCAGTTGTCAGCGCGAGTGGTTAAGAAAAAAATCGTCGCAAGTGTATTTCTCTACGAGGAACAAAAGGAAAGAACGGCCTTCGTCTAGCGAAAGAAAAATTCGTAGCAGTAGGCATTCGATGCGTAGGCAGTTTGGGGAGAGGAGGGAACGAAAAGATCGGTGCACGGCGAGGGAAACAAACTCTGGCGCGCGGCATTCAGGTAGTTTCCTACATTCAGGCGAATCCGCTCACTTGTCCATCCTGGAGCGGGCTGCTTCGCGATGAATGCCCATCTTTCCCTTTTGCCCTCTACTCCCCCGGGCCGGGCCACGGCACATCGGACGATATCCCCGCGCACCATGCCCCGCGCTTTTGTCTCGCAAAAATCTCGCACAATGCTCCCTCTCTCCGGTGGAACCCAAGCCTACTACATCTTCCTACCTTGCTCCACCTTCCTTTTTTTTTTTTTCGCTTCTTCCCTCTCTCCTTCTTTTTCTTTTCTTTGATTCGGATTCCGTAGCTCTATGAAAAGGACTTAATCACATGCGGCACCGGGGATTTGTCCCTTCTCAGGTAGTCTCGTTTAGACTCCCAGAGATCTTTTCGGATCTCCTTTCTTACGGGACTTCTTCTTTCTTCCTCTCCCCCCTCCCCTCCCCTCCACTTTCTTTCGAGAAAGAAACGCCAACTGTACCTGGCTATATCCAAACGGCTATTTAGGTATATTTTTATCTATCGAAGGTAATGCTTCAACGGTCACAGTCGGGGTTGTTGTACTTTTACGACTGCCGCAGGGCAAGTTACGTTTCGCGAGTCAGTTTAAGCGTCCTGTCGTAAATTTTATTTGCCATAATGAATCCGTCAATTCGGACGAGGTTCATCAGTCAACGTGCATTGGTCAAGGTTGGAGCGTCACTTCGAGAAAATCAATTTGCGAACGCGATACAGATTGAAGTATAAACGAGCCGTTTATTTCGAATGTGGCCCAAGTCCATTTATCTTCAAATCGAGATATTTAACCTCTCGCGCTGGCGACTGATTCGCGGACCATAACGAGTGACCGAACCGTACACGATATTTTTCGTCGCTTTCTTTTTCTCTTGAACACGTCGGTACGATAACACTTGATAGAAGTCGTCAAGAAATTGTGAGAATGAAAAAATCTTTTTCATTCTATTAATCAGCTAATTTCCTGTGTGACAAAATCTTAGTGATTTTAAATATATTAGTTGCAATTTGTTTAAAAAAGACAACGTAGAAATGTAAATGCTTAAAACAGCTAGCTTGAAAAATGGACTTTCAAAATAAAATATTCAACGTGTTGATGTAGAAACTTTGATGTATCTAACTTATCAATTTTGTATCTAATCATCAACTCTGTTAACTAAATTATTAATCTCGCGTCCAATCATGTATCTAATTTATCAATTCTGTTTATCTTCTCGAAAGCTTATTTATTCAATTGCTATTAAACACCCGCGTTAGAAACCTCTATGTACGTAACTATCATCAAATAACTATATTAAATTATGTAGCTTAATTATATTTCTTGTCCTTAGAATTAACGTAGTTTGCCATTGTGACGAGCGTGTCTTACAAAAATTTTTTTCGAAATCGGCGAACCGCGTACACCAATATTACCAAATAAACTAACGCCACTCGGCTCGATTAACGATGCAGATGCTGCGTCTTACTTAGAAATATTAAATGACAACGTGACAGTTGCATCATCAATCTCGAATATGTTAATCAGCATGGTATGTACGCATGTATGTGCCACAAGTTGCTGGCTTATGTAATGATCTGAATAAAGTAAAATTGATACTCACCGGGTGGACGATCAGCTCTCCCAGTTTCATCCCAGGCTCGACGAAATTTTACAAAGGCCGGTGAGAAAAATTTGGAGAAAAGTTTGGGGGAGAAAGGCCAAAGGTCGGAAGGAAAGTTTCTTTTTCTTTTTTTCTTTTCTCTTTCGAGAAAGTCAAACGGGACGATTTTGAAAAACGTAACGTATTCTATATTTAACAAACATCTTCTTCACGTCTGGTATTTACAATCACACAATGCGCGTGTATTTGCTAACATATTCGTCGTTGAATTATTTACAGTACGTAATTACAAAGTGCGACACGGACGGAGCGATCAGCAGGCCGAATTCCTCTTCAGTTCTTCACGCTGGTATTACAATTACAATGAACATACATACATACACGATTAGTCGAGCGTTTTCTTTTTCTTTTTTTTCTTTTTCTCGGAGGTTCTTTTTTTCTTCCTCTCTTCGCGTGCTCTCTCGATTTTCTCAGCGTGTCTTCTCGCTGTGCTGACCAGTCGAATTGTCATCTACGATGTATGAAAAGCTCCTTTTTACCTCGTACGGACACCCATCGCATCTTCATTTCTTATCTAAATAGTTGTCGGTATGTAATCGTCGAAAAAGAAACAAAAAAAAAAAGAAAAAGAAAAAAAAGAAGAATTATGAAGAAAGATGTAGTGAACGTAAAGAAGCCGATAATTCCTCGAGTTTGTGCTTTAAAATCTTACACTCTCCACTTTTTTTATATATGTGTGTTAATATGCGTGTGTTGCTTTTGTACAAGAGATAAAAGTAGGAACGACTGCTTCGTACTCGGTGATAAGGTTAAACTTCACCCGATTAAGAAGCTTTATTGTCAAATGTTGAATCAAGGGAAACAGACATTTCTCGACGTTCGAATAAAAAATTCGAATTCGTATACTCGAAGTTGTACTCGACGATTTGCAACCTTAGAAAGTATATCTCGTTCAATTATTCATCTAAGCATTCGTCAATTTCTTATATTGTCACGTTCGTGTCAGAAGCTTTCAAACAAAAATTGACAACACCGTTACTACATACGTATAGTCAGTTAATTCCTTCGTTCCTACTTGCGTACCGACAGTATCGTGTTTTAACGTAACAGACATAACATGTTGAGTAAGTATGCCTCGTGGAAAACAAAAGTCACACTCGACACACACACGTTACCACTTTACATTCGTTTCGTTCTGTAAATTGCACTGTAGGTACGTGTAAATGGTTTGTACAGCTATTTCACAAACTTAGAAGATTTTTAACACTCAATGAATTATTGTACTGCTCCCTTTCGCAAGCACGTTCAATTTGATTACAAAACAGCATTACAAGTATGTGATTCGATGCAGCCGCTGACGACATTGAAATTTACATTCCCAGTAAAAAGAATCTTGGTCACTTCTCCTTAGAAGATTGCGTGAAATATTCATACGCGTTTCTTCTTAGGTATAATTTTCATTCAAAGAAATTTCAATTTCTTCTCGCTGAGCGCGTGCAACTATTCCACTATACTTATTGATTTAACCCTGCTGTGATCCTGATAAATGTTTTTTCCATTTATACGCAAAGGGACTTTCGTTCCTTTCGAAAACGATACACAGAAATCACGCGTATTAACAATTCTCGCTAATCAGAAAAAGAAAGACGTAGCAGGATTAAACGAAGTAACAGAACGATTTCATTTCATCCTCGAATAATTTCCATTTTCTTTCTAACCTCTTGCGCTGGAATGACGTGCCGCGCACATTGAGAATTTTTTCCCTCCAAAATTGCAATATTTCCGCAGGTTTTAAGTACAGTTAAATATAACCCAGCAAGATAAATAATAAATTTATTACTACTTGGTAATTTTTGTCCAATGGATATTATCCCAGTCTCCGAAGTTTAAAAAGAAAGCGACGAATTATTGCACGCGGTTCGGTCACTCGTTATGGTCCGCCAATCAGTTGCCAGCGCACGGGGTCAAACATCTTGATCTCGAAATTCACTCATTCTGAGAAAATGATATACCTCGCGTACGAACCGAAGCAAAAGCGACAAGGGAGACGTAAATATCCAATCACAGGTTTCTTACACAATTCATAAATAATGAATCGATTGGCTTGGTGCAGCGCTATGATCGATGAATCTCATTACGGGGCTGTAATTAGTTACAGATCATCGTGCGTCCCTCTTATATTACAAACAAACGTTCGTTGATTATAGCGTGTACGATATTGCCTCGCAACGGAATTGCAATTGAATTCATCACGCATGCATCGCGAACGCATATCTTCTTTCACCTGGTGTATAGCTCGCGAGTGTAATCAGCTTTTGAATTCGGCGCGCCGAGAAGCCACTCCGATCCGTTGTTCGTATCTTTTTTTTTTTCTGTTTTCTTCTTTTTTTTATATAAAAGCTTATGCAACAGTAAACAACGAAAATAGCCTGAAACGTAGCTGAGACATTTCGATTCATCGCGTTTCTTTTCCTCGTACACACCTCCACCCACTCTTCTTTGCACACTTCCGTATTTTTAGGTTATGGTTTTTTTAGGTTATATTGTCGCGCTTTCTTACTGACCATTTTACAAGCACACAACTGCCTCTTCGACGTTGTCGACGTTCGAGCGTTCATTACTTTTCACAAAAGTATATATACAGCAATTTTTGCCTGTTTTTTTTTTTTTTTTTTTGAAAAATTGATGTCTATTCATCGAACCTTCGCGAACTTCGTTATCAACGTATACGCATGTACATACATACGTCATACGCGGGAAACTTCACGAACGAACCCGCGACGAGTATTGTTTCTCTTAAAAACGCAACATTATCGCGAAGTGTTGTTCAAACGCGTATTTTTTCGATTGTTTCCTGGAAAAAAAGGAGCGAAAACGAACAAACGAAATATCTTTTACACGAACAGGTTGCACGGACTCGAAAAAATTACACTCGGTTGAAACGATTAATTTCTCTCTCTCTCTCTCTCTCTCTCTCTCTCTCTCTCTCTCTCTCTCTCTCTGTGTCTCTCGTACATCTGAGATTCCACATTGTTGCAGCTGAAAATGTACACTTTATATTTATAATTTCAATATGAAATACCCTTTGATACAAATATTAATCGCATCGTTCTCGATCGATAAAGTCAACGCACGAAGGTGTATCATCATATCGGGGGGGAAAAACACGTCGTTCTTTTTTTTTCCATTCGAACGGCTATTCGCACAAATCGACAGAATTTCGATGAAAATGAAATACCGCGAGCAAACTGCGTGTTTTTCGAATATTCGCGTGTAAGAGAATCGAGAAATGTTCGGGGGGGCTAGAAATGTTCGCTCGCGTTTTTTCTTCTTTCTTCTTTTTTTTTTTTTTTTTTACGCGTTCGTAAGTTCTTTTTAATGAGACTCGATACGAAACGCGTAATATCTGCTCGCAACACGAACATACGGGGCTCGATGATAAAAATCAATCAACTGACAAAAAACGGTACGATAATCGGTATTGTTTCCTATATCGAGACACATACACGTTACACGTTACAGATCGCGTTACAATGTATATTGTTGGGGAACGTTACAGGCTTCTCGTATTTTGCGAGATTACGCTGCAGCGTTAGTCGTTTTCGATTCTCGCTTGTTTCATTCTTGGAATGACAGTGACAGCATGTAATGTAAGTGAAACAGACGTTGATCGTCGATAATTGCGGGTAATTCGTAGAGAAAGTGTAGCATATTTGGAATACCAGTTTGTTTCATCCTCAACTAGTATCGCGGCTATAGTAATTTGACTATAGTACAGTTCATGATTATCAAGATTTATCTTATTTGATTTTACATTCATTACGATAGAGATTAGCAACGGAATTGAAAAGAAATTAGAGATTCCAGAATTAATTAATTTTGAATTATCATGTATGTTCATAACCGGACCACCAGCGAAGGATTAGAGCGAATAAAAATTTGGAAGCAAACAAAATCGCGTCCTATATGTAGCTGATAAAGTTCTACAATTCAAACTCTCGATAATAATAAATAAATGTGAAACACCTAGGTAAAAATACAACTTTGGCCTAATTGAGAAATAATGATAATGAAATTGTATTCGGTGTAGGTAATTTTAGCGTTATTTCAGTTCACCTTCACTTATTTATCGAATTGAACAAAAAGAAAAAAGAAAAAAAAACAAAGTTACTTTCTCTCCCGTGATTTAATCATGGCACGAAGATCACAACGTAGGAACAATCATTTTAATCGTAAATATCAATTCTAAGTGTGTAAATAAAACAAAGCATCACTTTCGAATATTTCAAGTAGAATCCCCGTAATCCATGAATTCAATATCCACGGTTGACTGCGATCCACAAAGATGTACAACTTTCGACGAATTTACTCACTTTATTCATTAATTTCACAAATAATTATTAATTTCAAAAATAACGTTCGCATTTATAATTTCTAATGGAATTGATCGGCCAACGTTTTCGACTGGAGAATATTAAGAATGTCATAGCTTTAACTCTTCAAGGACAACGCCTGACGACGACGATTTAAACGTTTTTGATAATTCTCGTAGATTTAAATAATAATCATTGTTAAACAACAGCAGTTGATTCCGTTTATATATAATTGAAATAACATCTAACAAACGTCGCACAGAATCGTCATTCCTGAATGGCTAAAATCATATATCATTTCTCATTAGTAATGTTCACGTCGAACAAACTAATAATATTATGTCACAGTACAAAAACGTACGTATCTAAATAGAATTCGCAAATAGACTCGCAGATTAATCCTGTTACGAGGAGTTTCTACTTGCTGTGCATTCGCTCTTCATTCACATACGAATTAATAACAATATATTCCAAATACGCTGTACACTCCCTGTTCTACCCTGACAAAAACATCAAGGTGACAAGAAAAATTTCGCCACGATCCACGGCAGATCTGCGAGAAAGATCGCCACGGTACGCGAGTTATCGGCATCTATCACATCGTTCGATGTTATTCCTCTTCCCATTTGCTATTGCGAACCCCTATGGCGTATTTCACGACGATTCTAAAACGTTGCACACACTGGGTGCACACTCGTTCGACCAATTCGAAGTAACAAAGACTTTTACCGCAATGTGCCAGCCTTTTCGGCTAGATTCCTATTACGTTAACGTTTCTCGTTATCGGTATTACTCGGTAATTATGTATAAAAGGTTGCTTGAAACCGCGCGCCGGACATTTCTTTCCCTTCTTTTTTTTTTTTT